AAAAAAAAAAAAAAAAAAAAAATTGTTTTCTGTGAAAGGAAGCTCATTATATAAGAAGGTTTGCTACCCTGTGCCTTCTGCTTTTTTAAAAAAGAGTTAATGATGAAACATAATTGTTTTAATATCAGTAAGTGGATGTTTATACTCTTTGATAGTTGAGTATTCAATGCTCTATTCGTGAATTAATTTATAATACTTTTTTAAAGGGTAGGAGAAATATTTCTTTAAATATCTTTTTTTTTTTTTTTTTTTTTTGTTTTTTTGGGTCTTTTTTTTAGACGCACGGGTTTTTGGTTAGCCCACGGCATGTGGGATCTTCGTTCCCCCACCAGGGATCGAACCTTCATCCCCTGCATTGCAAGGAGGATTCTTAACCACTGGACCACCAGGGAAGTCCCTCTTTAAATATCTTAAGGGCAGATCTGAAGATAAATAGCATGAGTGGTTCTTTTAATGAAATGTTTATTACTATTTGAAAAATAATTGGAGGTAGGGGAAAACAAAGATGTGCTAAAAGAAGTTTATCCACTAGAAAGTAAGATATTCAGTGTTTATCATCCTCCACCAGTAAAGTTGGGTTTGTGGAATATGGATCCGCTGTATAGGAAAAAACATAGATGGTATTACATTTTAGACAGTGTGTTGCAGAACCTGGTTTTTTCAACACTGGTGTAAAAGAATCTATAATGACATAGGTTATAATTTTTTTTTTTTTTTTTTTTTTTGCGGTACGCGGGCCTCTCACTTTTGCGGCCTCTCGCGCCGTGGAGCACCGGCTCCGGACGCACAGGCCCAGCGGCCGGCTCACGGGCCCAGCCGCTCCGCGGCATGTGGGATCCTCCCGGACCGGGGCACGAACCCCCGTCCCCTGCATCGGCAGGCGGACCCCCAACCACTGCGCCACCAGGGAAGCCCCGGGTATAATTTTTTGTTCATTTATACTGTTATATATATATGAAATATAGAATCTAAGAGTATTAATAGGATTATTCCAGAAAGTCTTCCCCATTCTTGTTAGCAGTTGCCTCCATATTTTATATTACTGATTTAAATCTTAAATTTCATAAAAGCACCTTACAACCAAATTGACTAATAGCTACTACTTTAAATTTTCAGTTCTTCTAAAATTGAATATTTATATAAAAGCAGTTTAATATTTCTTGTATCCATTTTCCTACATGAACATCTTTCCACCAAGGTTACACTTGTCAAAGTAAAATTCACATGTAAAAGGTCTGCCCCATTTTACTAAGAATACCTTGTATTCTTAGAATAAAAAGAAAATTATTAATCTTACATAATATTGTTAGCTTTTAGGCAGGTGTCTAATGCAGTTATAGTTCTTTTTATTTGAGAGACTTTTTTCTACTGTCCCTATTTTGTTTTTCACTAATATTACATAAGAATGGTGGTACTTTTAAGGTTTTAATTTGTGTGAAATTAAAAACGTTAACTCTGAAACATTAACTTAAATGGAACTAGTTTTCTCCATTAAAAATGGTTTGTTATAGGAAATTTTAAACATCCACAAAAATAGCGAGAATAGTGAAATAAACCCCTATAATATACACCCAGCTTCAATAATTATCAGCCTTTTATTTTTATTTGCCAAGATTTCTTAAGACTGTTGTCAGAGGTTTTTGTTTTTGTGTTTTTCTTTTAAGTTGTAGTTCTGTATCCTGTTTCTACAGTGACAATAGATATTTAAACAAAACTAGGTCATGTAAACCCAGTAGACCTAACTTTATTTCAGGAAGTGGAGCGAGAAATCTCATTCAGAACAGAATGTGGACTGTATTACTCCTACTACAAGCAGATGCTGCAGGCTCCAACCCTCATGCAAGGTAATCACAACTAATAGTTTTATTTGGGGTCTACTGCATTCTTTTCAATATTTCTGCTAAAATATACTTTTGCACTAATGCATTCTAAATGCTTTATAGATCTTGTGTAGTTTTTCCTTGAACTTGTATAGTTTTTTTCCTTTTTAACATAATCAATCCATGAAAATGTTTTGCTTTGGAAGAAGTTACGTAATATTTTATGTAGTTCTCCTCTCCTTGCTTCTCAGCTCTACTCTATCCCTAATTATCTGTTCACAGTTTCTTGGTTTTGCTGTTAATTATTTTCATGGTCATTTTGGAAAAGGTCTTTGTATGTGAAAGGAGTATTGTCTGAAAACAGGAGACGTTTTGGTAGTACAAATGAGAATTACAGTTGTCTTTTTTGTCCCCAGTGCCCCCATTCATTCCTTTATTTTGCAGTTACCATTTTCCCACGTTTTCTGTGTTTCTAAGTGGTTTAGAGCACATACTCTTTACCTTTACTCCATTTAATGGAACCCTCCAAAAGGGTCTCTCCTACTCAATATATGCGTTATGTGCTTCATATGGGTGCATATAACAGAGAATTGCCTTTTTCTAGGCTTTGTTTGGAATCAGATATATTTTTGGTAAGAATTCTTCATGGGCGATGTTTTGTACTCTAATTTTATCACGATAGGAGACATGAAATTTTGGTTGCCTTTCTTTTAGTGCCATAAAAGTTAATCAGTTTATTCCTGTGTGGATAGTTGCATTCACACATAATAAGGTTAATTACTCACCAGCCTTGCACTTAGTGGTTTTAGCAGCCATTGATGACTATTGCCTCTGTCCATTATTTCAATAGAGTTACAGAAGTGACTCTCATTCCTCCTGCATTTATTAGCTGGAACTCTGTTAGATAGAAAACCTTTTTCTCATCAGCTATTTGATTACCCCGAGCTACAGTTTATCAAAAAAGGCAGGATAAGTGTTGATTTTTCCCCCATACAGTTGATCCTCATTATTCATGGATTCTATATTTGCAAATTCACCTACTCTCTGAAACATATTTGTAACCCCAGAATCAATAGTCCTGGTGCTTTCACCGTCATTCACGGGCATGTGCACAGCAGTGAAAATTTTTAGTTGCTTCATTTGTGTGTTCCCAGCTGAGGTCAAATAAGGTGATGCAGTGCTTTCGTGTTTCAGCTCAGACTACAGAGTCCTTTTCACAATCTGTTTAGTGCCATGTGTTTTTTGCATTTTTGTGGTTTTCGTTGGTGATTTTCCTGTTTAAAGTGGCCCACAAGCATAGTGCTGCAGTGCTGTCTAGTTTTCCTAAGTGCGAGAAGGCTATGGTGAAGGCATACAGAGAAAATAACGTGTGTTAGATGAGCTTTGTTCAGGTGTGAGTTAGAGTGCTGTCGGCCATGAGTTAAATGTTAATGAAACAACAATATATACTAAAGGTGTCTTTAGACAAAAACTCATATAAATCAAGGTCATGTGTTGATCAGTTGATGAAAATGCATGACCAGAAGCTTGTAGGAAAGTAACCCTGTATTTCCTCCTCATTCAGTATTGCTAATACAGTTTTCATTGCAATTTTATAGAACATAACTGTGGTGAGTAATGAGAATCAGCTGTACTTACAAGTTCTCAAAATTATGAGTTGCTTCTCTAGCATTCCCCAAAGCAGGGGTTCTTATTGAAGGGCAGTTGTGTCCCTGGGGGACATCTGGAATGTCCAGAGATGGTTTTGATTGTTACACTTTACAGGGGAGAGGGTGAGTGTGCTACTGGAATTTAGTGAGTAGAGGGCAGAGATGCTGCTAAACATCCTGTGGTGCTCAGGACAGTCCCCCCAACAAAGAAGTATCAGGACCAAAATGTCAAAATACTGGTAGTGTTGAAGTTGAAAACCTCTGCTCTAAAGGTGAATAATGAGTATTTTCTTTCTAATCACTATGAACTCAGTGGTTGATCTGTTTCAATTCATTTAGTTATTTGTTAAGATTATTCTTTTAGAAACTTTCAAACGTATAAAAAGGTAGAGAAAATCCTCTAATGGATTTGCACTCAAGTATCACTCAATTACAGTGGTTACCAGTTTATGACCAATCTTGTTTCCTCTCTACCCCCATCCTCAACCTGGATAATTTTGGAGTAACTCCAAGACATCATATTGCTTCATCTGTAAATATATCAGTATAATTTTCTAAAGAATGGCAATTCTCTTTTTTTTTTTTTTTTTTGCGGCACACGGGCCTCTCACTGCTGTGGCCTCTCTCGTTGCGGAGCACAGGCTCCGGACGCGCAGGCTCAGCGGCCATGGCTTACGGGCCCAGCCGCTCCTCAGCATGCGGGATCCTCCCGGACTGGGGCATGAACCCGTGTCCCCTGCATCGGCAGGCGGACTCTCAACCACTGCGCCACCAGGGAAGCCCATCCCTTTTATAAACATAACCAAGTTGTCATTATCACAATTAAGAAATTACTTAATATCAAATATCTACTCAATATTCTCGTTTTCCTCTTGTCTTACAGATTTTTAATGTAGTTTTGAAATCCAGATAAAGCTCATACATTGCAGTCTTTCGCTATGTCTTTGTTTCTTTTAAGCTATGGATTTCTCACCATCTTTTTTTTCTTGTAATTCTTCACTGGAAACACTGATTGCTTTGTCTGAGTTTTCCACTTTCTGGATTTTGGTGGAGCCCCAATGGTGCCATTCAGTGTTTCTCTGTTGTCTGAATTTCCTCTTAATTGGCAGTTAGATCTAGAGGCTTGCTCAGATTTAGGTTCTGCTTTTTAGCAAGAATACTTCCTAGATGGTGTTGTCCACTTCCACATCAGGGGGTGCATAATGTGCAGCTCATTCTTTTGGAGTTTAGACTGGGCCATCCACTATTAAGTTCTTAGTTAGCCTTTCACCTAGGTTTATCACCATTGATGATCATTACTTAAATCTGTTCATTACATAAGGACTATAGCGTGGTGATATTCTGATTCTGTAATTCCTTCCATCATTATCAGATGGACTTCCTCTCTAAATAAAAACGTTTTCTCTTCAACTATTTGGCAACCCAGAATGTCAGTTCCTAAAGGAAAGGTGGGATAAGTATTGATCCTTTCCCTTTGTTTTAGAATGGGTTACCTCTCTAGCATCCCCTAAAGGTTTGCTTTTTAAATATTATCATAAACACATGGATTTCTAACATATTTCATGCATTTCAATCTTTTGCATTATTCTTCTTAAAACAAGTTGTCCAGTCTTTGGCCAGTGGGATGCCCTTCAAATCAGCTGCTGTCTTTTTTTTTTTTTTTTTTTTTGGCTGCATTGGGTTTTTCGTTGCTGTGCGGGCTTTCTCTAGTTGTGGCAAGCTGGGGCTACTCTTCATTGTGGTGCACAGGCTTCTCATTGCAGTGGCTTGTCTCGTTGCGGGGCACGGGTTCTAGGCATGCAGGCTTCAGTAGTTGTGGCACACAGGCTCAGTAGTTGTGGCTTGTGGGCTCTAGAGCACAGGCTCAGTAGTTGTGGCACCTGGGCTTAGTTGCTCTGCGGCATGTGGGATCTTCCCGGACCAGGGCTTGAACCCTTTTCCTCTGCATTGGCAGGTGGATTCTTAACCACCAACTGCTGTCTTTTTGACATGACTCCAGTAGCCTTTGAAAACTCCTTTGGCATGACAAGATGTTTCAAGCCCATTTTGTGTATTTCCTACCCGTGACCTAGAATCAGCTGTTTCTCCAAGGAGCCCCAGTTCTCTTTAGTGGCTATTTAGAGACCACAGTCTGGGTACTAGAGGCACTTATTGCTACTAGTTTGGTCCTTATTTCCAGACCTTTAGTGAGCAGAGTAGGAAATGTGATTTTTTTTTCCTAAAAGAAAATATGAATAGAGCTATTTTTAGTTCAAAATTAGGATAACAAGGTTTTTACTTTTTTGACTTTATATTTGTATCTTGTTTTCTTTAAGTTGAAAATTTTGGCTTCTATGACATTATCACTTATTTGTTTTATGCTGCTATGTAGAATACTTTCAGTGTAGCAATGATAATATTGCTACTAACAGTATGATTGCCTGAAAACAGTTCAAGCTGTCTTTGTAATTCTTCTTGTCCTTAGGATGTAGCCTACTAGGAATTTACAGTCATATTCCTCTATTCCCAAGAACACTGGAAAGAGTTTTTTTATGTGACCAAGCTACCAACTCAGTAGGTTTCTTTGTTTTATCTTGCTTTTGGTTTTCAGTGATTGCTTTGTTTAAAAATTTTATATATTTTTTATACTTATTAAAAAAAATGTTTACATGGTTCCAAAGTCAAAACTATAAAACAGGGAGCATTCAGGGAAGTCCACCTCCATCCCCGTCACCTCCACCCTGTTTCTTTCCTCACTCTTTAGGTAACTATTTGTATTAGTTTTTGGTTTATTCTTCTACCGTTAGTATTTTCAATATAAGCAAATACTTTATATATTCATATTTTCCCTTTTATTACAGAAAAAACCCTGCTTACTGTATACACTGTCCTCTATTTTGCTTTTTTCACTTGACTGAAATCTTGATCACTCTATAGTAGGGTATCATGATATTCCTTATTTATTTACTTACTTATTTTCTTGCAGTTGCATAGTACTCCTTGGTGTGGGTAACCATAACTTTATTCAGGTAGCCTTCTTGTCTTTGTCTACTCGGGCTGCCATAACAAACTAACATTGACTGGGTGGCTTAAAAAAACAGAAATTTATTTTCTCACAGTTCCAAAGGCTGGAAGTCTAAGATCAGGGTACCAGCACAGCTGGGTTCTGGTGAGGACTCTCTTGGCTTGTTGCTGGCCACCTCTCTTTGCATCCTCACATGGAAGACAGAGACAGAAAGCAAGCTCTCCAGTGTCTCTTCTGATAAGAGCACTAATCCCATTATGAGGGTCCCCCTCTTATAACCTTTGTCTCTACCTAATTACCTCCCAAAGGCTCATCTTCAATACCATCACATTGGAGGGGGACGGCCTTAGGGCTTCAACGTAGGGGGCCATATAAAGTCTCAGTCCATAACACTCCTGTATTAGTCTAGTAGGACTGCTGTAACAAAATAACACCGAGTGGGTAGCTTAAACAGTACAAATTTATTTTCTTTCAGTTCTGGAGGCCAGAAGTCTACGATCAAGGTACTGTCGGGGTTGGTTTCTGGTGAAGCCTCTTTCTGGCTTGTAGATGGCCACCTTCTTGCCATGTCCTTACAAGGCCTTTCCGCTGTGTGTGTGCATAGAGGGAGGGAGAGAGCCCTCTCTTGTTGGTTCCTCTTCTTATAAGGACACCAAGTCCTATCTGATTAAGGCCCCACCCTATGACCTCACTTAACCTTTTTACCTCCTTGTAGACCCTATCCAAATACAGACACATTGGGGTTAGGGCTTCAACATAGGAATTTGGGGGGACACATTTCATTCCAAAACACCTCCTGTTGATGGACTTTGGCATTGTTTCTGATCTTTTGCTTTTACAGATGGCACTGCAGGAATGACCTTGTACCTGTGTCATTTTGTCTTTTTGCCAGTCTGTCTTTGGAATCTGTTCCTAGACATGGGCTTCCTGGATCAAAGAGTAAATGCACATGTAATTTTGCTAGGTGTTGCCAAATTGTCTTCCATAGGGATTATACCATTTTGCATTCCCAACCACAGTGTATGAAAGAGCCTTACAGCCTCACTAACAGAGTATATTGTCAAACTTCTTGATTTTTTCCAAGCTGCTAGGTGAGAAACGATATCTTAGTGTAGTTTTAATTTGCTATTCTAGTAGGAGTGAGGTTGAGCATCTTTTCAGATGTGTAAGGACTGTGTGCATGTTTTCTTCTGTGAACTGTTCATACCTTCTGTTAATTAGTTGGCTTGGTTACAGTAGCAAATGACCTCAATATAACAATGGAATTCTATAACAACAGATTTATTTCTCACTCTCATTATCCAGCCCCTATGTGGAACATACTGTTACCACTGCAGAGGGAAAGGGCAAGATTGCTGGTGGAAGCATGCATTGTCTCTTAAAGATTCTGCTCAGATGTGACCTGTGTCACATCCACTCACCTGCCATTGGTCAGAGCAAGTCAAATGGCCAAACCCATCCCTGGGGGTGGGAGGGAGGCTTCATATACTCTCCCAAAGGAGGTACTACAGGTCTCATGGCAGGAAGGCAGAGCAGGGAAATATAATATCCTCTTGCCCAAATTTCTGTAGAAGAATCATACGGTTCTTCTATTACATCACAGAAGTTATAATTTACCTATGTTTGTGTAAACATTTAAATAATGTCCATCTATTATATGGTATGCTTTTCATGGATAGGACTATTATATCCACAACACCTAGCACATTCTCTGGCATATACTAAAGAATCTATGAATAGTTTAGAATGAATAATTTAATTATAATTATCTTTTACTGAATTTTCAAATATCAATCTTAGGTTTTCATGGCTTAATATATGATAACAAAACCGAATCTATGAGGACAATTAACCTCCTTCAACGAATGAATATTTACCAAGAGGTTTTTCTCAGTATTTTATATAGAGTCCTACCCATACAGGTATGTTGTGTTCTGTGACATTGAATTTAATATTAGATGAAAGTCAAAGTCTGACATTTTAAGTTGAATGTTTCACATATGTTTTTCTGATCTTCAACTGGCTTGGTATAAAAACAGTAGTATCCTAATTTTCTCCACACATATTGTGAATTTTGCTTTTTATTTATATTTTATAAGATATTTTTACATATAGATGCTTCCAGGCTTAAAGTATGCAGTCTAGAAGCTGATAAATATTTTCATTTGGAAACATGTGATCACTCCTCATTTATCTTTGAAATAAAAAAACAACAACCTGGAGAGTTAGCAAATCACAGTGACCACTTCTCATGTGAATAAGGTAATACTGGATGAAGTTAGCTGTAAAACTCGTCTAAAGAATGAAACTAGGGACTTCCCTGGTGGTCCAGTGGTGAGGACTCCGCGCTCCCAATGCAGGGGGCCTGGGTTTGATCCCTGGTCAGGGTACTAGATCCCACGTGCCGCAACTAAGACCCAGGGCAGCCTAATAAATAAATAAATACTTAAAAAAAAAAAAATGAAGCCAGAATCCTCAAGGACTTCCTTTTCTGCTTTTGTATTGAGAAGAAAGGCTGCTAGCACACTTTTACACAGGAAGGAGTGATGTACGCTTATTTCTTGGAATTAATACCAAGCTTCTGAATATTAAATTTCCACTGTCATATTTTGTAAATGGCATGAGAAGGAGTAGGGCTTCTTTAACAGACGTTTTTTATCATTCCCTTACAGAAATATATAGAGCCAGTTTATTTTTATATTTACACCTTATTTGGACTCCAAGCAATTTATGTCACAGCTCTTTACATAACCAGCTGGCTCCTGAGTGGTACGTGGCTGTCAGGACTCTTAGCAGCTTTCTGGTATGTCACAAATAGGTGAGTTGGAATCAGTATTCCCTTCTCCTTTTCTAAGGTATAAGTTAAAATGAAGTCACTTCATTTCCAGTTTAAAGAAGGTTGTTCTGCCACATTTTGTTGGAGTATTTTCTCTTTGGGTTACCTAGTGGAGGTTTTCTTATTTAGTAAGGTAGAAAGTCCTACTTTTATATGTACATCTACAGCTGAGGAACAAAACACTGAATTGTAAGTCAAGAGAATCATCTATAATAATCCCAATTCTATTACCAACTTGCTGTGTGATCAGTATTTCTCCAGCCACAAATCTCATCTCTTAAAAGGTTTATTAATATCTTTATTATCAACCTCAGTAAGATTGTATGCAGCTCATAATTAGCAAAGTATAAAGCACTGTACAAGTGTAAGGAAGTTCTTACATTATTTAATTAATATCTATTAATTTCCAAACCCTGGAGCATTATGAAATAGCATTTTTAAAAAACATATTCGAGATAAATCGAATTATTGCCTTACCTATTAAAAGCAACACCAATAGTCAGTAGCAGTCTTAAAACTTGAACATGAATTCTGATGTTGATTTTATGTTGTAATCCTCAACAAATTACTTTTTATTATAACCTTACTGAGTGCTTACTATATGCCAAGCACTTTACATCATACTTTATATGTATGATTTTAACAAACCTGTAGAGTGGGTACTATTATTATTACTATTTTGTTTTATTTTATTTTGTGTGTGTGTGTGTGTGTGTGGTATGCGGGCCTCTCACTGTTGTGGCCTCTCCCGTTGCGGAGCACAGGCTCCGGACGCGCAGACTCAGCGGCCATGGCTCACGGGCCCAGCCGCTCCGCGGCATGTGGGATTCTCCCAGACCTGGGCACGAACCCGTGTCCCCTGCATCGGCAGGCAGACTCTCAACCACTTGCCGCCACCAGGGAAGCCCATTATTACTATTTTAGAAGTGAGGTAATTGAAGCTTAAAAGGTTGTTTTATACATATACATTATATGTATAAATATATAAAAAGGTTATGTGTGCATATGTATATATACATGAGAATATTTATATAGGCATATATATTTATATATAGATAAAGGCGCACACACACACACACACACACACACACACACACACACGTGCACACATGGAGCTAAGTCTTGGTCAGAATTCAAACGCAGAGTGTGAGACCACTATGTTATGCTGCCTCTTAACATTTTATTTATTTTTTATTTATTTATTTATTTTTTGCGGTACGCGGGCCTCTCACTGTTGTGGCCTCTCCCGTTGCAGAGCACAGGCTCTGGACGCACAGGCTCAGCGGCCATGGCTCACGGGCCCAGCCGCTCCGCGGCATGTGGGATCTTCCCGGACCGGGGCACGAACCCACGTCCGCTGCATCGGCAGGCGGACTCTCAACCACTGTGCCACCAGGGAAGTCCGCTCTTAACATTTTAATCTAACATATTATTCCTGCTAAGAGTAAATGAAAGTCTGTAATTCAGCTATACTTCAACAAAAAATAAATTTTAAAAAAGAATAAATTAAAGTCAAATTTATTGTTTCTATTAAAAGTAAATAAAGACATTTATTGGATTCCTAGTATGTATAGGGATCGTTCTTGGTACTAGGTGTACAAAGTTGAAAACTTAACTACACTTGCCCTCTGGGGGTTCACATTTTAGGGGAGTCAAGGAGCTTTTAAAAGTTTATTAATCAATGACAAAATTAAGACTCAAGTATAAAGCACTACCAGTTCTACCCCAGTTCTACCACTGCATACCTGTGGACAGGTTAGTTAAATTTTCTCAATGCCAGTTTTATGTTGCAGGCATGATGATGATGATGATAAAGGCAAATTATTGAGAACCAAGAACCAAAATCTAAACATACTTAACATAATATGTCTTTCACTTTAGGAAATCTTTGAGGTAATGATAGTAAAAATTACTACTTTGGTCCTTTGTGTTTTCCTTGTGCAGAATAGATACCACAAGGGTTGAGTTTACCATCCCACTGAGAGAGAATTGGGCGCTGCCATTCTTTGCAATTCAGATAGCAGCAATTACATATTTCCTGAGACCAAACTTACAGCCCCTTTCTCAAGTAAGTTTTTATAATACTTTGTATATATTTTTAGTTCTCCAATTTTATCTTAGAAGCTTCAGAAAATGTGATGTTCATCGTGTCCAAGTGCATGTTAATAGTTCTTATTCCATGACCAATTTTTTAACTTGAGTTAAATTAAGTTTTCTTTTTCTAAACCTGTTGCTACTTTGCAAAGAAAATGTTTTCATTTTTGATGTTAAAAATGTACTCTGCATTATCTGCCCTTAAACAGTTATGGCAAACCCACACAAAATTTCTGCAGAACTGTCAGAATTTTTAAGCCATTGCTCTTGAGATGTGATTTGGTGCATTATTGCCTCCATGATAATATGGAGTACACATACCATATGTGAATATTTATATGCAGAGTGTCACGTTAGGCTATTTAGAACTTAAATAACAAATGCAAGAGTTTTCAGAGCAACAGTGCATAGTTTTTCTGTTTGGTTTATAGAGATATTGGCTGCTCTTGAGAACACTTGTCTGAGAGGCTTTTTATTACTAGAGACATGTAAATTATACAAAGATTTTCTTTTTACAGAGGCTGACACTTCTTGCCATTTTCATATCAACTTTTCTCTTTAGTCTAACATGGCAATTTAATCAATTTATGATGCTGATGCAAGCATTAGTGCTGTTCATACTGGACTCCTTGGACATGCTGCCAGCAGTGAAGGTAAGGTTTGCTCTCTTTTCTCAGTTGAGATGGTTGTTGTTTAATGTTTTATATGATAGAATGAGCTCAAAATATGCACATGCTTAATGATAAAGTTGAAGCTGCTTCTTAGCTATAATGTAAATATGCTGTAGTCAGTTGAAGCTGAGTAATTTATGCAGCCTAGTTTGATCATCTTAATTTTTATTCTGCTTATTTTACATTAAAAGATGGATTTATTTCGGGACTTCCCTGGCAGGCCAGTGGTTAAGACTCCACACTTCCACTGCACGGGGCACAGGTTCGATCCGTGGTCGGGGAACAAAGATCCCACATGTGGCGTGACCTTAAAAAAAAGATGGATTTATTTGGAGCACAAATGTCTAAATCAGTTGTCCTTTATAGAGTTGACTTAAATTTTAAAATATAAGATAGCTATTTTAAAATGTATTACTGTGTATTGTCCCACCTTTTTTCCCCCAAGGAAATCAATGGGTGTATAACAGCTTTTCTGTGGTACTTTGTAAAATTTTCATAGTAACATTTACCAGTACGGGATGTGAATCCCTATTGATTGGTCAGAGGTCACATATGAAATAAGGAAATTATAAAGGAAACCATTGTTTGTCTCCCAGTGTGTGCTGCTGTCATTTAACTGTATGGTTTTTGTCATGTGCAGAAATATGTTTTAATGTGTTGTATATGTTTTTAAGTTGCTCATAGTTACTATTCCAAAGTAACAGTAACTTAAATATTTTCCAAGTATAAAATATTATCACCAGGTCTAAGGCAGCAATATAATCTAATAGAGAAGAGTTGTACTCACATATTCCATGTCAAAAGAGATGCAACAATCTTTGGAAACTGACTGAATCTGAAATAGGAAACATTAAAGTCAACCAACACACATATATTATCTATCTACTGAGTCATAATAATAGGATAGGCACTATAGAAAATTCCAACCTGTATAAGACATTGTCCCATCCACAGGGAGTTTGCCATCTAGCTTGGGAAATAAAGATGTCTATACAATTAGAGGGATGTCTGTATATCTATAGATGTCAATTTGTAGTAACAGTAAGTGCCAGAAGTCTAGAAGAGGAGACTTCTTTTTCGGCTAGAAAGGTTTCACAGAAATGAGATTCTAGAGGTGGACCAAAAATGAGGAGACTAGAATTTGGATGGAGTTTGAGAGGGGAAGATATGAAGGTAAAATACAGTAAAGAAAGCAGGTGGATAAATGGGAAAAGCATGTGAAAAAGAATGGATACTTCTATGGGTATAGCTGAATCACTTTTCTGTATACCTGTAACTAACACATCATTAATCAGCTATACTCCAATATAAAATAAAAATTAAAAAATTAAAACTATTTTTAATTAAAAAAAGAAAGCAGGTGGATAAGCCAAAGTTAAAATGTGTATATATGTGTGTGGGTGTATAATATATGTATGTGTGTGTATATATATATGGTATTAGATAATGATAATAGAGCCCACATGCCTCTAAAAGCTGCATGTACAAATGAAGCTGAGTCTGTTGCTGTCTGTTTATATTTGCTTTCCTGTTTTGTAAACTCTTTATGCTTTGTTCATGGAGACTTGCAAGCTAAGGGGAAGAGGTGCCTAGATACCTTTGTATTTCTTCTTGTCATACACTCTTAGGCCAGTTTGTCTCTTCATATCTGATATCACTTTTCCCCCCTTTCTAACAAGTATGTTCAAAAGAACATTGTACATTTTAACATAAAAAATAAATTAATTAATAAATGAAAGAAGAAATAAATAAAAATAAATAAATAATATTGAGCCATTTTGAAAATACATATATAAAACTTTTTTCCTAGTGTATAATTTTTCTGTAGTGTATTTTCACAGTAGGTATCAAAAGCCTAAGAAAACACGTATGTCTTTTCACCAAATTTTGACCTCTTGAAATTTATCCTAAGGAAATAATCAAACATGTTCATTTTAGCTGGACTGTAATAAGAAAAGTCTGGAAATGACCTAAGTCAATAGCAATAGGGTATTGTTAAACAAACATGTCTTAACTATGTAACACAGTGTTAGTTATATATAACCATTAGTTTTCCTTCTCCCTTTTTTAAAAATAAAACATATGTATAGAGAGAGGAAAGTTTCCAGAAATATATGCATTAAAGTATTAGCAGTCAGCTATGTGATTGATGCTCTTATTTTCTTTTTGTTCTTTACATCTCTTGAATATTTCTGTAATGAACATCTGTTTCTTTTTCTTTTTTAAAAAATTGGAAAACAGAATAAAAGGTACTATTTTGGCACACACAAAAAACTAAAGAATAATACAGCTAATTTATTTCATATTCAGTTCTAAGCTTCGTTGAACTTTTATATTTGAAACTCTGTTGGCGTTAGAAGTAGTTAAAACTATCAGAATTAAAGGAGGAACAGTATTATAATGAAAGGATCTGGGTTATAATACCAAGTTGCTACTATCAACTCTGAAGATAACTAGCTCTTTAAACTTTGTCAAGTGATATAACTTCTTGGAGCCTTAGTTTCTTCATAAATTGGAATCACTGATCTCTAATCATATTGAATGGGAAAGAGTCAGAATAATTGATATAGAAAAAAGTAATACAAATTCAGAGCCTGATGTGGTGACAAGAAGCAATATCTTTTTCAGTACACGTCACCTTCTTTTCATGGATGATGGAAACTCTCTTACCATCAAAAGATCAAGTTTTCAGTGAGAAATGTGTACAGGGTTTTAAAATATAAAACAGAACAGTAAATGTTATTACTAAGCATATAATTCTGTTCGATTAAAGACTAAGAATGTGGAGACTACCTGTTGTGAAAACAAAACACATTAGTGATCAATGCCTAAGAGGCAATTTTAAAGTACTCCATATGGTTCCAGACAAAATGAAGGAAACGCACTTCTTATTCTTCCTACTAAGTACAATTAAAAGCCCTAGACAATATGTAAAAAACAAATATAAGAAAATTTTGAGAGGTGGAGAAAAGAAAGTAGACTACACCTGGAGACCTCGAAACCAGAGGAAGAATATGGCAGTGAGTTCACTGGGTTTTCTTTTTGCTGCATATATCTCAGACTAGGTACTGGAAAAGTCAGCAATCAGGAGAAACCAATGGACTCAAACCAAAAAAGCCCCAAGAAAAGCCAAAAGGACAAGAAAGGGTGAAACATAAATGCCACGTGGAGAACCTTCAACTTATTGGTAATGAGACAGCCCTCCCCATCCCTCCCGGGATGGTGTCAGCAGAGAGCCTAAACTTTCATCTTCACCCAGCAGTAATGAGACACTCCTTTCTTCTGCCCCTCAAAAGTCAGTGGAGGTCAAATGTCCAGGTCACCCTGGACATCCAAACCCATCTGGAGATAATGAGGCAGTGTCCTTCTTTCCTCAGTGGCATGACGCTGGCATGGTGTCAGAGGAGGTCTGCTGACGCAGAAGATTTACATAAGATTCAGAGTTCCATAACATAATACAATACAATTGAAGATCATTTGTTAACCTGAGAACCAGGAAAATCTTTTGAATGAACAGAGACCATCAGCAGGTGCCAAAACCAAGGCACACAGAAGTTGAATTACCTGACAAGGAATTTAAAGCAGCTATCATAAAAAAAAATTCTCATTGAGCAATTACAAACACACTTAAAACAAATGAAAAATAGGAACTCTTAACAGAGATTTAGAAGATAAAAAGAAGAAGCAAATGGAAATTTTAGAACTGAAAAATTCCAATAATGAAAATAAAAACCTCAATAGATGGGCTTCCCTGGTGGCACAGTGGTTAAGAATCCGCCTGCCAATGCAGGGGACATGGGTTCAATCCCTGGTCCAGGAAGATCCCACATGCTGCGGAGCAGCTAAGCCTGTGCGCCACAACTACTGAGCCTGCGCTCTAGAGCCCGCGAGCCACAACTACTGAAGCCCACATGCCTAGAGCCCGTGCTCCACAACAAGAAAAGCCATTGCAGTGAGAAGCCCACAGACTGCAGTGAAGAGTAGCCCCCGCTTGCCTCAATTAGAGAAAGCCCGCACACAGCAACGAAGACCCAATTCAGCCAAAAAAAAAATTAATTAAAATAAATTTTTTAAAACCCCAAAACTCAGTAGATGGACTCAACAGTAGACTGGAATGGTCAGAGGAAAGAATCAGTGAACTTGAAGACAGGACAATTTAGAAATGAACTAATTTGAACAAGAAAATAGACTGGAAAAAAATGAACAGAGCTTCAGAGACCTATGGGACCGTAACAAGAAGTCTAATTCATATAATCAGAACCCCAAAAGGAGAGAAAGAGAGTGAGGCTGGAAAAAGTATTTGAAAAAAAATACTTTTTGAAGGAATGTCAAAAACTTCCCAAATTTGTCAAAACCTACAGAATCAAGAAGCTGAGCTAATGTCAAATAGGGTAAACGCAAATAAACCAATGCCAAGATACATCATAATCAAACTTCTGGAGAATAAAGATAAAGAAAAAAATCTTGAAAGCAGTCAGAGAAAAGTGATACCTATAGGGGAAAACCAGTTTGAACGACAGTTGGTTTCTCATCAGAAACCATGGTGCTGAAAGAATAGAATGGTCAACCCAGAATTCTATAGCCAGCAAAAATATCTTTCAGGAAAGAAAGAGAAAGCAAAACATTCTCAGATGAAGGAAAACTAACAGAATTTGTTACCTATGGACCTATTGTTAAAAAAAAATGGCTAAATGAAGTTCTTGAAATAGAAGGAAATGATAAAAGAAGAAATGTTGGGACATCAGGAAGAGAGAAAAGGCAATTAAAAGTAAAAATATGAATAAATATAATAAACTTCCTCTCTCATCTTGAGTGTTCTAAATTATGTTTGATAGCCGAAGCAAAAATAATAATATGGTCTTATGGTTCTCAGTGTATGTAGAGGAAATATTTATGACAGTTGTAAATGAGAAAAGTAAAGGGACTTAAATTGAGGTAAAATTTCTACACTTGATTCAAACTGGTAAAATGTCCACACTAGTAGACTGTAATAAGTTATGAATGTATAATGTAATAACCCAGAACAACCACTAAAAATCTGTACACAGAGATACATTCAAAATACTATAAATAAGTAAAAATGGAATTCTAAGAATATTCAAGTTACCCACAGGAAGGCAGAAAAGAAAACAGAAATGGAAAACGGAGTGAACAAACAGCAAATGATAAAATGGCAGATTTAAGACCTATCATATCAATAATAACACATATATACAATAGAATATTACTCAGCCATAAAAAGAAACGAAATTGAGTTATTTGTAATGAGGTGGATGGACCTAAAGTCTGTCATACAGAGTGAAGTAAGTCAGAAAGAGAAAAACAAATACCATATGCTAACACATATATACGGAATCTAAAAAAAAAAATGGTTCTCAAGAACCTAGGGGCAGGACAGGAATAAAGACGCAAACATAGAGAATGGACTTGAGGACACGGGGTGGGGGAAGGGTAAGCTGGGACGAAGTAAGAGAGTGGCAATGACATATATACACTACCAAATGTAAAATAGATAGCTAGTGGGAAGCAGCTGCATGGCACAGGGAGATCAGCTCAGTGCTTTGTGACCACCTAGAGGGGTGGGATAAGTAGGGTGGGAGGGAGATGCAAGAAAGAGGGAGGGGATATGTGGATATATGTATGCACATAGCTGATTCACTTTGTTATACAGCAGAAACTAACACAATGCTGTAAAGCAATTATACGCCAATAAAGATGTTAAAAAAATTACATTAAAGGTAAATGATCTAAATACAACTATTTAAAGACAGAGATGGGTTAGAATAGATTAAAAAAGCACAACCCAATTGTTTTCTACAAGGAACTCACTTCAAACAAACAGTATAGGTAGATTGAAAATAAAAGGGTAGGAAAAGACACAGCATGCAAATATTAATCAAAAGAAAGTAGGAGTGGCTATATTAATATCAGGTAATGTAGGCATGAGAGCAAAGAAAATTACCAGAATAGTATATACTAATAAAAGTATTAATCCACCAAGAAGACATAGCAATCCTAAATGTACATGTACTAACCAACAGTGCCACAGTATATGTGAAGCAAAAACTGACAGAACGGAAAGGAGAAACAGACAAACCCAAAAAGAGTTGAGGACTTCAGCACCCCTCTCTCTCAACAATTGAGAAACAGACAGAAATCGTTAAGGATATAGAACTCAACAACACCATCAACTAACAGGATCTAACCAACATTTATAGAACATTCCACCCAACAACAGCAGAATACCCAATGGATTGCACCAATGGATTCAAACTAGAAATCAACAAAAAGATAAGGAAATTTCCAATATTTGGAAACTAAGCAGCACACTTCTAAATAATCTATGGGTCAAAGAGGAAGCCTTGAGGAAACACTGAACTCAGTGACAACAAAAATGCAACATATCAAACCTTGTGTGGTGCAGCTAAAGCAGCACTAAGAGGGAAATGTGTACCACTACACACATTATAAAAGAGGAAAAATCTAAACCATAACCAAGCTCCCACCTTATGAAACTAGGAAAGGAAGAGCACAATAACCCCAACTCAAGCAGAAGGAAGAAAACAATAAAGAAAAGAACAAAAATCAATGAAATTGAAAACATAAAAACAATAGAGAAAATTAGCGAAATAAAAAGCTAGTTCTTTCAAAAGATCAGTAAAACTACAGACCTTCATAATTCCCTTGGAGCATTAAACATTCAATGTTAGCACACTTTGATACCAAAGTTCTGATTCTCTGTGGCAGTACTTATGTTCTAGCCAGTTAAGAACATAGACTCTAGAACCAACTGCCTCGATTTGAATGAGTTGATATAAGTGAGTCATTTATCATACTCCCTGATATTTTATGAATGTTAAAAAATGTTAATCATGTTTAATTATGAATGATAATGAAGAGCATGAGTATGCCATTGAAGAAAATTTTGATTATTCTATATAGGAAGAATGTATTATTGCTGCCTTGTTTCTAAACTCTGAACTAATAGAACCTGAGAAGGAACATCAAAAGTACCACTGGGAAAAAAAAAAAAGTACCACTGATAATCCACAACTTTCTAGTATACGGTACTGCTCAGTATTACATTTCTGGCTGATCACCCGCAGTGTTTCTCTTGAACCTAGGATATCATTACAGTTGACCCTTAAACAACATGAGTGTCACTGCGTGGGTCCACTTACGTGCAGATTTTTTCAATAAATATATACAGTCCTCTGCAGTTGGTTGAATTCATGGATGCAGAAGGCTGACCATGGGACTTGAACATCCAAGGATTTTGTTAATCCACTGTGGGTCCTGAAACCAGTCCCCCACAGATACCAATGGATGACTGTACATTTATAAAACTGTGCAATCTTGTAACACAGACTGCTCTTTTTTCTCTGAATATTCCTACTTGGTGTAAAAAAAGACTGCCAGCATCAAAAAACATCGTAATCCAAATAAAGACAAAAAAAGTTTTATTTTAAAAAAATGTATTCCTGAATGAGTCATTATGCTTAAAGAGTTCCTACAGATTTAATGAGGAAAATATTTACACCCCTATGGAAAAAGGGAGCAAAAGATACAAATACTTCGTAGAAGGAAAAGCATCAAAAGGAATAAAATATGTAGGTATAAATTGAACAAAAGAAGTGCAGACTTATACCCAGAAAACTACAGAACACTGTTGAAAGTTTTAAAGACCTGCATAAATTGGAAAGATTTCCCATGTTCATGGATTGGAAGACTTTCTATTGTTAAGGTGGCAATACTCCCCAAGTGGATCTACAAATTGAACATGGTTCCTCTCAGAATCCCAGTTGCAGAAATCGACAAGCTGATCCTAAAATTCATATGGCAACTCAGGGGACCCAGAATAGCGAAAAAGATCATGAAAAAGAACAAAGTTGGAAGACTCACACTTTTCAGTTTCACAACTTAACTTCCAAGGTACAGTAATCAAGACAGTGTGATACAAGCAGAAGAATAGACATAAATCGATGGAATAGAATTGAGAGACTAGAAATAAACAGTCAACTGATTTTCAGCAAGGATGCCAAGATAATCATGGAGACAGAGTAATCTTTTCAATAAATGGTGCTGTGATGGGACTTCCCTGGTGGCACAGTGATTAAGAATCTGCCTGCCAATGCAGGGGACAGGGGTTCAAGCCCTGCTTCAGGAAGATCCCACATACTGTGGAGCAGCTGAGCCCGTGCACCACAACTACTGAGCCTGCGCTCTAGAGCCCACGAGCCACAACTGCTGAGCCCACGTGCCACAACTACTGAAGCCCCCATGCCTAGAGCCTGTGCTCTGCAACGAGAAGCCACCGCAATGAGAAACCCACGCACCACAACAAAGAGTAGCCCCCGCTCGCCGCAACTAGAGAAAGCCCGCGCTCAGCAGCGAAGACCCAATGAGACCAAAAATAAATAAATAAAAATTAAATTAAATTAAAATTTTTTTAAAAAAATTGGAAAACCCCATTTAAAAAAATGGTGCTGTGATAACTGGATATCTATATGCAAAAGAATGAAGTTGGACCCCTTCTTCTTACCATACACAATCATTAGCTCAAACTAGATCATAGACCTGATTTTAAGAACTAAAACTATGAAATGTTTAGAGGAAAAGATAGGAATAAATATTTATGACCTTGGAGTAGCCCAAGCCTTCTTTGATATAACACCCAACGCACAAGTGACTAAAGAAAAAATTAGATGAATTGGACTTCATCAAAGTTAAAAACTTTTGTACCTGGAAGGATACCATCAAGAAAGTGAAAAGATGGGCTTCCCTGATGGCGCAGTGGTTGAGAGTCCACCTGCCGATGCAGGGGACACGGGTTCATGCCCGGGTCTGGGAGGATCCCACATGCTGCGGAGCAGCTGGGCCTGTGAGCCATGGCCACTGAGCCTGCGCGTCCGGAGCCTGTGCTCCGCAACGGGAGAGCCCACAACAGTGAGAGGCCCACGTACAGCAAAAAAAAATAAAGTGAAGAGACAACTCGCAAAATATGAGACAATATTTGCAAATCATATATCTGAATAAGGATTTCCAGAATATATAAAGAATTCTTACAACTCTTTCAACGTTAAAATATGGACAAAAGATTAGATAGATATTTCTCCAAAGATATATAAATGTTCAATAAGGACCTGAAAAGATGCTCATCATTAGTCATTAGGGAAGATTGGGAAATAATGGAGTACGGTAAAAATACTGATTGTTGGAATACAATAAAATACTATAGGCCATAACTGTAAAGGGATTTAGAAGAAAATTAAAGACTACAAACAGCATTTGCCTATTCCTAGAATATATTTATACCATTGTTTGCTTCCTCTACTTCATATATCCCTGTTCTTCTTAATGTTATAAAGTTTAAAATGTTCTGTAATTAAAAGGTAAATAAAGAGTTACTATCTTCCTTTCTTAGATTGTATTACTTGATGCTAGGTGTGTTTTCTGCATTATTTATAACTTGAGATGTATCCAACTAGTGACCAACCTGTCAGCATGTGGGAGTCTCTTGATAAAAATCTGTTTAACCATCTAATCCTTGGTTGTTGCAGGTGACATGGCTGTATGGTATACAGCTAACAGGTTTACTCCTTGTCTGCATTCTTCAGTTTTTTAATTCCATGATTCTCGGATCATTGCTTATCAGTTTTAACCTTTCGGTGTTAATTGCAAGAAAACTTCAGGTAGGACTTTTTTTTGTCCTTAATCAAAGTAAACTTTTTTTTTTAATTGTGTGGTTGTTTAGACCTTGTTTTCATATAGTATACAAAGGAAAATTTATAACCAAATTCCCACTAAAAAGCAGTAAGGCCATTATTTGCTTTTTTTGAAGTGCATGGTATAGCATTTGTTTTCAGGCTTTCTGATCTGCCATTCCTTTGTTTTGACGTTTATTATTTCTTAGAAAATTGGAATCTTAATTAAATTCAGGATTAGCCAGAGATACTTGTTTGACTGCCATTGGTTTAAAGTTGGAATAAAAGAGAAAAAAATGTTGACTTTTTTCATGTGTGAACTCAAGAGTGAGAAGAACATATTGCTTTGTGGAAATGTGTTTGTCACAGTCTTTAAAGTTGGTGGACACCTTGTTATTTGAAGTAGTAACACCACTCTTTCCCCCATCCTTCCGTATCATATTATTGATTTTTAAGTGAGTTAAAATTAACTCTGTTTTGAGAATTTTGAGATTCCAAATAAATACCTTTAGAAAAAAATGGGACATTTCCTAGAATAACATGTTTGACATTGGCCTCATCTTCTGACTTTATTATATAATTAAAATCTCTTAAATTTACATAAAATTTAAGAGTTAGTTATTTTTCCTTAATAATGTTGCAAAGCCTGTTTTCTGTCTTATAAGCATATGAGAAACGTTTCTCATAAGCACTTTTATATCAAGAAGCTGTTTTGTTTTCCATTTTGGGAAGAATAAATACATTTTGTTATTAGTCTTTTGAGTGAGAGCTGCTATGGACAAATCTTCACAAAATTTTAAAAAACAGGCTTTTAGTTGACTATTAAAAACTGTACTTCTCATTTATCCTTTTAACCTTAATTATAAATAAACATCACTTATATTTGAACTGTTTAGATATTATTATATTTGATAATCCATAAAGTTATTTGAGGGTTATAAGAAAACTATTATGTATCAAAGAGCACAATTTACTTTTTTTATATAGGTCTTTTATTTAATGGGTTATAGTCTGTGATATATGAATCAGTGGATAAAAAGGTGAATCAGTGGATCAAGTTCAGTCAGTATATGCTGAGTACCTTCTAAGTGGCCGACTCCATACTCTGGTTGAAGAGGTCTTTAAAAAAAAAAGGACTAGGACACATTTCCTCATCATATGGAGCTTATTATTAAGTGATTCATTTACTATTAGAAAAAGACAAATTTTAAGACAATGTAATAACCTCATGAAAATTAGGTTATATTTTCCCTATATGTTGTGTGACCCAATGTTTTAAATTCTTAAGTAATCTCATCTTAAATGTTTATGAAGTTATATTAAAATTAAAAAATTGAAACTCAACTCTTTTAATTTCTAGAAAAACCTGAAAACTGGAAGCTTCCTTAATAGGCTTGGGAAACTGTTGTTACATTCATTTGTGGTTTTATGTTTGACACTTTTTCTCAACAACATTATTAAGGTAGGTTAATAAAATGACATGTTTAATTTAGCATGACTAAAGAGTTACCAGTTTTACTTTAAACAGACTCAGTTTTACCTTTGTTTCAGTAATGGGATTATTTTCTTGATTTTAGTCCTTGATTTCTATTTGCTCTTAACATGTTCTACTTTGAACCCACCTTTTGAGTTATTAAACTTTTTAAAAACTCAGCTTTAAAAGCATTAAACAAGTATTGCTCTAAATTTAAAGCTTCTACTTTTTAGAGCGTTTTCTGTACTATGGTACTAAAAAAAAAAAAAGACATGATTTTTATTGGGGTAAGTTCATAAATAAACTGGGTTTACTGTCGGAACCACATTGATTAATTGAGATGATTTCGCCCCTCTGGGAAGGCTGGTCTCGGGACAGAAGACAGCTAGCTGCATGTACATGACAGACTCTTCTTCTGTAAGAGAATGGCAGTCTCTCTCCCTGTCTGTTGACTGTCAAAGAAAAAACAGACCCTTCACTCAGTCAGCCACATTAAACACCTCCACTCCAGGTCCTTATCACTATTTTCTTAAACTCCATATAGTTCACTACTTATCAAAAACTTATTTGAGGGACTTCCCTGGTGGCTCAGTGGTTAAGAATCCACCTGCCAATGCAGGGGACATGGGTTCGAGCCCTGATCCGGGAAGATCCCACATGCCGCGGAGGAACTAAGCTCGTGTGCCACAACTACTGAGCTTGCGCTCTAGAGCCTACGAGCCACAACTACTGAGCCAGAGAGCCACAACTACTGAGCCTGCATGCTACAACTACTGAAGTCCACATGCTTAGAGCCCATGCTCCGCAACAAGAGAAGCCACCGCAATGAGAAGCCTGCACACCGCAACAAAGAGTAGCCCCCACTCGCTGCAACTAGAGAAAGCCCACTTGCAGCAACAAAGACCCAATGCAGCCATAAATAAATAAAATTTATTAAAATAAAAAACAAAACATTTGAGCAGAACAATCAGCATTTCTGAAAGACTGGCTGAAAGATATGCAGTCCATCCATTTCACCACTCTACATGTTCAGTTATCTGTGCCTGGATTAAGCCAGGAGAGAGCTACTTGTCTGGACCACTGTTTTTTGACTCCCCAAAGAATAATGCCTACTGAATTGCACTTGATGTTGTGCCAGCTACCTACAATTGGAAGAATTTTAAAAAATAGTCTTTGAGACTATTCGCTGTTTTTACCGTACCCATGGGGAAAATTTCTCGAGTCTCAGTTTTAGGATTATAAGGATGTCTCTTGAGCAACTGGTTTGTTTTAATCTTATGACCCTGTGCGTAGCATAAATGCTTTTATTTCCCTCTTTGTATTTGCTACTAGAATGCATGAGCCCGGATTTGTGGCTCATATCTACTGAATATATTTTGTGTACTAACCTCAGTTCTGGATTAATCTTATTTTCTTTTCTATCGTCATTTTTCTTCTGATACAGTTTCTTCACCCATTTATGTTATATGAATTTTTGTAAGCCATAAATTAAAAATAAAATAATGTGAATTAAAATTATACTCACTAATGATAAACACTGGCATTTGTCTCTTCACCCCTTGAGGGTTATTGCTGTGTCTTGAATTGTCTTTGAAAGAATGAGTCTTATATCAATTGTATCTGCAGACAGAAAAACCCAAAGGAAAATAGGCTTTGTGGGCTATGTTCCTATTGGAGGTTTCAGATCATGATATTATCGGTTTTCTGATTTTAAAAGTTGTACTCACTGGGCTTCAGCTGTCTCCCTCTCCCTGAAACCAAAGAACCTCATCTTTTATCTGTTTTGCACGTTGAACTTATGCCTAGATTTTGTTTGCAAAAACGATTCTGCTAAAAAAAAAAATAGGAATGGAGGGTGTTTGAAAATCCCTGCTTTTGAATGAAATAATGCCATTTGCAGCAACATAGATGGATCTAGAGATTATCATACCAAGTGAAGTAAGTCAGAACAAGGAAGACAAACACCATATGATATCACTTATATGTGGAATCTAAAATATAATGCAAATGAACTTATTTACAAAACAGAACAGACATAGAAAACAAATTTAGGATTACCAAAGGGGAACGGGGTTGGAGGAAGGATAAACTAGGAGTTTGGGATTAGCAGATACATACTACTATATATGAAATAGATAAACAACAAGTTCCTACTGTAAAGTACAGTGTACTGTATTCAATATAAACCATAATAGAAAACATATATATGTATAACTGAATCACTTTACTGTACACCAGAAACTAACACAACATTGTAAATCAGCTATACTTAAATAAAAGAATTTTTTAATGAAAAAATCCCTGCCTTAGAATTTCTCAGTTCTAAGACCTATTGTAAACATTTACTAATTTTACACATACACACACATACAGTCCTATGAAATGGAGCACTGAAAATGTGTATTCAATGGGAAATTATCAGAAAACCATGCATAAAGAACTGATAGCAATTTTTATTTTCTCCCTCCCCGATAGAAAATTCTTAACCTCAAGTCAGACGAACACATATTTAAATTTCTGAAGGCAAAATTTGGATTTGGAGCAACAAGGTATGACTGAATTTAAAGTCTGTGTTTGCTTTTTATATTAAATCAGCAGGGTCTTTAAAATGTAAGTTATCAGTTCTTAATTTCAGGCTTATTTTGAGGAAAAGTTGGAGGTTTACTTATCTTGTACTTGAATTTAATACTTTGCTTTCCCTTTGTTTCCTAGAGATTTTGATGCAAACCTGTATTTGTGTGAAGAAGCATTTGGCCTTCTGCCTTTTAATACATTTGAAAGGCTTTCAGATACTCTGCTTTTTTATGCTTATATATTTGTTCTGTCCATCACAGTGATTGCAGCATTAGCTGTTGCCTTCCGTAATCTCAGGTATGGCATATTTCAGAAACCTAATTCTATGCTTTAATGAACTTGTTCTGTGTTGCAGAAAAATTGCTAAATTGAAAATCAAAACATCAGATACAGAACAGAGTACAGTCATCTTAAAGGGGGAACGTACCCAAGTTAGCGTGGACTGTACTCTCAGTTGGTAAGGGTGGAGTAGTTAAGAGACAGTAAAAAGTAGTAGATGCCATGCACACAGGTCTGGGTTGAGATCCTGGCTCGCATACTCGGGAACAATGTGATCTTTGAGCCAGTTACATAACCCTTCATTATTTCCATTTCCATTTCTGTAGAATGAGAGCACTAAGAGTACTTACTCTACAGGGTTTTGTGAGAAATAAATAAATGAAAATTACATAAAGTACTTAAAGCAGTGCCTCATGCGTAGAGTATATTGTGTAGATTTCAGCTATCATTATCAAGTGTTATTATTATTGACTTGTAGTCTCTCTGTTTTGTTCCCATTATTAATTTCCTGTGTTTTTCTACCTTTCTTTCTCCAGCTACCTTTTTTATTTCTCATGAACTGTCAAGAGTTAACCATTGTTTATTTGTTTTGTTGCATCTTGTTTAAGGGCTTATAAAGTTGGAATGGACCATAATTATTAGCATCTACTAAAAGTCTTAAGTATTAGTTGACAGTGTTTTAAAACTTAGGATGTCTGCTAATCTACTTAAAAGAGAAAGTCAGGGAGTATGAAGAACACCTACATATCAAGCTGATGGAGGTTTTTGCATTTACTATCCATGTTAAATTGAAACAAGATTAAGTGTAAGAAGTTGAAGCTACTGTCATTTGTGGAAAAGTAATGAAGCACAGAAGGAAGCCCTTTTCCTGTGTAGTTACCTTGCCAGTTAAGGTGCTGGTGAGCTGTGATTCGCAGCCACCGGAGAGCTGTGCTGGGAGAAAGTCATTACAATGAGCCCAGATCAGTTGAGGTGTTTTATGATTATTAAGAATGAAGCAACATTGAACCATGAAGCTATTTCACTGACTATAAACTATTTTAGTATCTTTCAGAAGTGTTCTTTTTATACTGAGTCCAAGATAAAAATTTAGCCCCATGAAAATAGATGGAAATTATTCTAGACAGTGTAACTTAATGTTATTCCAGACACACCAGGTGTCGACAGGACTCTAGACAGCATGCAAAGCAGAAAGTTCAGTTGGCCTGCAGTGTTGTGTGAAAATGTCTGCCATGCTCAGCGTGAACCTATGGGCCGTCCTTGGAAGCTTATTTGGTATATGATTATAGATAAAGATTTTACTAGGTAGGGATACTAGGACTTTATTAGAGAAAAGCACTACATTAATTAAAGTCATTTAAGAATTATAGTGTCTCAATGTGAATTAACGTCTAAGTAATTTGAAGGATATATTATCAATGCCAAGTATTTAAAGTATTTCTACCTTCTAGTACTAGGAAGGATGGTACCATTACGTTTATACACCACATCTACATTGGTGTGTAGTATATAACTGAAAAGGATACCCTGTTCTATACTCATGGGATTAATAGAGCTTTCCAGCTCATTTGTGGGCACCGGGAGAGGTGTTGCAGAATTCTCCCAGGTATCAAGGGAGGATGAGAGGGTATGTTCTTGTCTGGAGTAATCTTTTAGTATCAGTGGAAGCCAGAGTTTGGGTTGTGATATATAACGTTTAAGTAAAGATTATCACCAGTGGTGAAAATTACCATAGAGTATCATTTTAATTTTCTTATGTATCTAGGGTGGTGAAAAAGAGGATTTCCAGGAAATAACAGGTCTATAGTTACATAGAAGCATTGTACATATCCAAGTCTATTGGATTTGTGTGAAGGATAAGTGGGGCCTTTATAGAAGTATTATTTTTATCCTAAGCTGGCAGCCCTTACTGTTGTTTCCTTTTCCCCTTGACAACAAATTGTACAAATCTGAACCCACTCATCCATCTCAACATCATTCAAGTGGGGACAACCAGACAGTACGTGCTTCCCAGTGTGATGGAATACATCATATCCCCATGAAGTGTACTTGCCAAAATAAATGAACTTGACTCTAATAATTAACCTCTAGATCTAATTACAAGTTTATAAGAAACATGGGAATAGAGAAATAATATAAAATGGCACCACGAGGAGACAATCGGCCAAATCCAGAAGGTAGGAAGTTATAGGACAAATTGTGCATTTTCTTCAACGAGTAAATGCCCTTAAAAGTGGGGAGGGGGGAGTACTTATATTGATTGAAAGATAATTTAAAGAGACATTGATGAAATGCAGTATGAAAGCTTTGGATCCTCATTCAAAAAAACCACCTGAAAAAAGCTATTGCAATAAATAGAAAATAGAACGTGAACTGGGTGTTAGATGATGTTGAAGGGTTACTGTTAATTTTATGGGTGCAGTCATCTTAATGTAGCCATATTTGATTTTTTAAATCACGTTAGGGTACTTGCCTGGTGACGCAGTGGTTAAGAATCTGCCTGCCGATGCAGGGGACACGGTTCGAGCCCTGACCTGGGAAGAACCCACATGCCGCGGAGCAACTAAGCCCGTGCGCCACAACTACTGCGCCTGCGCTCTAGAGCCCACAAGCCACAGTTACTGAGCCCGCATGCCACAACTACTGAAGCCTGTGTGCCTAGAGCCTGTGCTCCGCAACAAGAGAAGCCACCGCAATGAGAAGCCCGCACACCGCAACAAAGAGTAGCCCCCACTCACCACAACTAGAGAAAGCCCGCGCGCAGCAACAAAAACCCAGCGCAGCCAAAATTAAATTAATTTTTTAAAAAATCATGTTAGTTATATGTAATGAGGTATTGTGGTAGGTTAAAAATGTGATCATTGGTTCGTAAAGGAACTGAATTCCAAGTTCATGGATACATTTTTACTTGTAAAAACTAGAAAGATATGAGTAACTACTATGACATCTCTAAAGATCTCTTGTAGTTTCAGTGATTCCAAAATAATATTTTTTTGCTATCTCTTATAATTTAAAGGATTGAAGGACTTTAAGGTTTTGCTTAAATTAAAATGAAATTTGTTCAGTTTTAGTTACTCTAATTATTAATGCATTTATATTATGACACTTTTAGCCTCATAAACAAATTCAAAATTGATCAGAGCTGATTCACTTTATCTTAGGGAAATAAAACATTTCTAAATATATGAAGGCATAGGTTTCTTCTTTTTTTTTTAGTTATTATTTTTGGCTGCGTTGGGTCTTCGTTGCTGTGCGCAGGCTTTCTGTAGTTGTGGCAAGCGGGGGCTACTCTTCATTGCGGTGTGTGGGCTTCTCATTGCTGTGGCTTCTCTGTGGAGAATGGGCTCTAGGCACGTGGGCTTCAGTAGTTGCTGCATGTGGACTCAGTAGTTGTAGCATGCGGGCCCTAGAGCGCACAGGCTTCAGTAGTTGCAGGGCATGGGCTCAGTAGCTGTGGCGCGCGGGCTCTAGAGCGCAGGCTCAGTAGTTGTGGCGCATGGGCTTAGCTGCTCTGCAGCATGTGGGATCTTCCCAGACCAGAGCTGGAACGTGTGTCCCCTGCATTGGCAGGCGAATTCTTAACCACTGCGCCACCAGGGAAGTCCTTCTATCTTCTTCTTTAAGAAAGATTTAACTAAATTAAAATTAGTTACCCAGCTTTAATTTTTGTATATGTACTATTTTATGCAGTGATTCTACAAATCAGCAATCCATGTATAAAATGGGAGAGTACAGAATCGGCCTGAAACCAGAAACTGCCTACAATTTAATACATACGATTCTGTTTGGATTCTTGGCATTGAGTACAATGAGGTATTTTTGTTTTATCTGTTTATTTTTTTACTTGACCACTCTTTACCTGACATAGTTTAGCAATATAATTTGGGAACTGATGATCATCTTCATTAATGATTATGGTTCCCATAAAAATGTCCTTGTTGGGGCTTCCCTGGTGGCGCAGTGGTAGAGAGTCCGCCTGCCGATGCAGGGGACGCGGGTTCGTGCCCCGGTCCGGGAGGATCCCACATGCCGTGGAGCGGCTGGGCCCGTGAGCCATGGCCGCTGAGCCTGCGCGTCCGGAGCCTGTGCTCCGTAACGGGAGAGGCTGCAGCAGTGGGAGGCCCACGTACCGCAAAAAAAAAAAAAAAAGTCCTTGTTTACTATCTTCTCCCAGTACAAAATAGTATTTATAACCAGTTTTTTCCTAATTGCCAATATTCCTCTACTTTTATTTATATGATGGTTCTCAAAAGGCAATGGAATTAATAAGTAACCCCTTGGCAACGGTTTCTGCATAGTTTTAGTAAGATTTTACTATCACAAATAATACAACTGTCTCAGACTCCAGGTTTCTACACAGCTAGCACTGTTGACCTTTGCCTGCTTCTCTTCTTACAGAATGAAGTACCTCTGGACATCACATATGTGTGTGTTTGCATCATTTGGCTTATGCAGCCCTGAAATATGGGAGTTACTTCTGAAGTTGATCCATCTTTATAACCCAAAGAGGGTCAGTGCTATCTCTTTTTCCATTTCATTTTTATGACTTCTAGTATTTCTTTAATTATCAATTCTGTTGGGTTTTTTTTTTTCAGTTGTCCATACATCAATTTGATAAAATGGATACTAAAATTTAAAGCTACAAATAATTGATACATTATGATTTTATAAGGAATTATTTTAAAATAATTTTAATTTTAGCTTTATTTCTAGATCATTTTTTTCCAGACCATAAGTTAGATATGTTCATTATACAGAATTTGGAAATACTGAAAAGCACAAAAAGGAAAATTAAAAATCACCAATAATCCCATTATCCAGAGTTATCGCTATTATTGTTAAGTATTATAATATAAACATAATTACTACTAAGTGTACAGTAATGATTAATGGCCCATAAGTGCAGTTCTGGGTGGTTCTGCCCTATAAATTCACTAGGTGGCAATATGGTAGGAGCTACAAATAGCTTATGAATGATTGACTCAGTTGTCTTGCATATCAGAGACTCATGCTCTGTTAAATTATATTTTTGTTGTTTAAAAAAAATGTATTTACAAAGCAAAAATGTAAAAGCAAAAATATTCCAAACACTTGTAATCTAAATAATGTCTTTCTTATATAGATATGTATAATGCGATATTCAATACCGATATTAATACTGCTGTATCTGTGCTATAAGGTAAGGTTGATTGTCCTCATTCCTGTCTTTAATCTATTTAGCAGAATAATTGCTTTGACTCAGTGTACTTTGTGTGTCATTGGCAAGTAGAGTGCTTTGCAGAACTTACAAATACCTACTTAGCTGCTTCTTATGGCAGTTGACATCGATAGGAAGACTGATGTTCTTCCCCAAATGGGATTTAACAGGTAAAAACATTATAACAAAAAATACTACAATTTAATTATTCTAATTAATTTTCGTTTTGACTTACTAGTCAGCTGATGCAAATTCTGAAAATAAAGATGTTTTCAGACCTATTTTGAGGTGAATAAAGGAGAAAAATTAGTTTTCCCTGTTACATGCTTTTTATAAGAGTAAGATCCTAAAATGCATCTTATGTTAACCTACATATTTTATTAGATGCTTAAAATCATCTTTGTAAGAGGGCTGGGCACATATAAATACAGTCTAAGTTTAGCCTTATTATGTCCTTCAGTTTCAGTAGGAAATAAAGAAATTCTTCATATTCTCAGTTGACTGATTTCTGAAACAGCATTAACTGTGTTTCAATTCTGAGACTCCTCCATATGAGACAGTGAGTCTTTCATCACACCTTTGAGATTTAGAGGCTTGAATTGTTACCTGGGCAGGTAGCTAGGATTGTTTTATCCAACTGAGCTCTTATGCTCTCTTTTAAAAAAAAAATCTTACATATTTTTTAAGTTTAGATTTTTTTCTTCAAACTTTATTTTAAGGCAGAACAATGGATTTCAAACTCTACTGTGTACAGTTCCTGATTTGGGAGGGCAGCTAAAGGGAGTGGGGAGGCGGGTGGGACTCTCCTACAGAAAGGATCAGCTATGGCAGCTCAACTTCTAGGTTTATTTGCTTATATTTTCATGTAAGATTTTATTTGAAGCAAAGGTTTTAGGCTAAAAGAAATGTGTGATAGTCACTGTTAGACAATTCTTTTGTAAATATTTCAAAAAATTATGTTCTATCGTGTTCCTGTCTATCAAAACATTTGCTGTTATGGGTGGACCACTGTGCCAACTCCCAGATACTAGAAAACATAGAAATAGGTCATTTCTGCCACCATGCCTCTGGGAATTTTATTGCTCTACGGTAAATAAATGAAACTTCTTACAAACATCTGGAAAGCAACAATTAAGGATTAGGCAGAGTATATGTTTAATGATGAATGAGGTAGCTTTATTACACATTGATTCTGAGGGATAAAGCACCCTCCTCACAGAGAAGATGCAGCTCATCATCATTCCTGTCTCACCACTAAAGACATACACACACCGTAACAGTCCTTTCCCACTGTCTCTGTGTATAGGCTGAGTTCCTTTATGTCTCAAATATTTATTTGAAAAGTTGTTGATTTTTTAATAGCTACTTGAGGACTTAAGTCTCTTGTTCTTGATAACATTGAGGAAGGACATTATAGAAGAAATAAACAAGCAGCATCAGCATCACCTGGGAACTTGTTAGAAATACAGATGTTTGGGTCCTACTCCAGACCTACTGAATCAGGAGCTCTGGGAGTGGGGTCCAGTGATCCAGGTTTTAACCAGCCCTGCAGGTGGTGCTAATGCACCGTCAAACTTGAGAACCCCTTGCAGAGAACAGGGATTCTCAGCAGCGGCACTGTTGACATTTTGTCTAGATAATTCTTTGTCTTAGTAGCTGTCCTGTGCATTATAGGACACTTAGCAGCATCCGTATCTTCTACCCACTACATGCCAATAGCACCAGCTTCCAGTTGTGACAATCAAAAATGTCCCCTTGCGGGTGTGGCAGAATCCCTCCCCCAGCCCCTCTTGAGAACCAGTGCTATGGAAGAACTAATGATAGCACTGAAAAGGCCATCATTTCCTCAGGGAATCTTTGTAGATGTACCCTGAGTAAGAGAGTTAGTAGTCATTCTGAAGAATCCTTCCGAAGACAGATGGCCTCGCCTCTCTCGGTATTGGACTTCAGGAGAAATCTTAACGCATCCAGCTTTCACTGTATAAAACAGTTTACGTATTTCAGCTTCTCAAAACTGTGTTTGTGTTTTAATACAAAATCACAAAGAAAATAAAGATCTTATGTATGAAACTGAATATGTTTTCCAACTATTGAACAGATTTATCTGTAAGAAATATGAACTAATATTTCAAAGCCTGATTTAAGTTTTACATAGCACTATAATGAGGATTTCAAATTTTCTTGTTCATAATACTTATTTTGCTATATGTCTGCTTAGGATAATCCTGTTTAAAAGGGAAAAGTATGTGCTAGTCTCCACTCTAAAATCAAGAGTTTAATAACATTATTGCTCTCATGTTAATTAACTTATTTGGATACCTAAAATCTCATATAAACACTGCTGATCATTTAGGAACAGCATTTAGTTAATTCAACATTTGTTTTCACGTTGTTTAAGAAGTTTATCATAAGACTGTGTTACCAGATATTAACATTTTCAGAATTAACAGCAAATTTCAAACTAGAAAAATATCTAATAACCACTGAATTCACAGATTTCAAAATATGTTTTATACAAAAATAATTAAAACATCATTTAAAAGTTGGTATTCTGTTGTTATCAAAATTAATAGGGATAATGGATAATTGGAATCTTATAGAGGTATCATTTAATCAGTAATTTTTATTACATCTCTTCTGAAACCTAGGACTAGTAGTGCTGACACCTGATTTTCTGTCACAAGCACCAGCAATTTTCCTGACTTACCCACCCAGGAGACAAGATATGAATGAGTAGTAAAAATGGCCAAAGATGAAATGACAAGATAAGAAAGTGATAGGGATTAAAAAAACATCCATAGACCAGTCAGGTGCCACTTTGCTTCCAGTTAGTGGTTCTTAAATAAAAAAGATTATACTTGCAACTTTAATGAAATGTAGATACATTATCACTGGGCTTCTATTCCAATATAGGAAATGAGTTCTGCAGTTCACCTTAGCATGTATTTAGATGATCAAGTCTTTTTAGCCAACTGCCATTTGATAAAACAGTGAACATTTAATTAGTTGTTGAATTACACAGACAAGTTATATTAGAAAAGCAGTGGATTCAGAGTGTATTTTTACATTATATCTGCATAGCTTAAGTTACTCAAGTTGAGTAGGAGGCACCAGTGGCATAAATATAATACTCAGATGTACCAGATTTTCCTGGACCGTCCTACTTTCAAATATTCTTCTCTCCCTTTGTACCTGTAATTATGTTAATATTCATCAAACCATTTGTCCAGATTTCTAGTTTAAACAATATAATCACCATATCACACAATGAAAAGTTTCCAGTTGTGACTCTGCCACTGTGATCTGAGCAACTCAGGTTATCTGTCTCTCTGAGCCGAGGTCTCCAGACTAGTAAAATGAAAAATAAATAGCCATGGTGATGATGCCTTCTGCGTCATCTGTCTCCCTGAGGAGTTGTGAGGATAAAATGAGATTCTGTATTCCAAAGCATTTTTGCAGCTCTAAAATGGTGCTGTCTTCTACAGGGTACATTCTACATTTAAAGATAAATTACATGAAGTTAGTTAGTCACATTTATCTCATATCCTGTGAACTTTCTCATGGTTGCTATTCCTGTCATATCCAAATTAATGTTTTACTAGATATTAACACCACATACAATAGCATTTTTATTAGCGTAAAATAAAAGCTCATTTTTTAAAGTTGGCAACACCTCTACTTCTAATTAGCTCCAGCTCACAATAATTTTGGAAACTTTTCTCAGACTTCATCTCACTTACACTAGAAGGGTTGACTGCAGAAGTGAAGTAGTTCTAATATTCCAGTTACCACGTTTATTTAGTTCACAAGTTATATGCAGTTTCTCCTTTTTCACTTTAATCTAGTGATAGTTGTGGGTCTGGGGGTGGATTTTGGTTTTGTTTAGTTTTGTTTTTAATTTCAGTTCTGGCCAGGAATGATGGATGAGCTCTCCGAGTTGAGAGAATTCTATGATCCAGATACAGTGGAGCTGATGAACTGGATTAAGTAAGAGGATTTTTTTTTTTAACTTTTAAATTTAAAGTGCCTTTTAAGAGTCACTGTAGACCTCATTTGGTTTTTGGTTTTTTGGGTTTTTTCTGAATCTAATTATGAAGATACATTCATTCTCAAGTTTTTCTTTAAAACTCTATATTTGCAAATAATTTCTTTCCATTCAAAAAATATTCTCTCTAACCACAATCCCGTGAAGAAGGGAAAGTACCAATACGGAGAGGGAAACAGAATCAGAGGATGCATTTCAAACCAGTGACAGCAATGGAAATAAAGTTTTATATTCTCTGCCAATTTTATCTTTATCATTTCTTTCATTTTAATACCATTCAAATTTTCTATTAATACTGACACATAAAATATTCTTTCCTTGTTAATCACTTAAAAATTATACTGTAAACTACAGTTAATTAGAGTCATACAAGCTTAGTGCAGATTTCATTTTAACTAATCATATTGCCCAAGATTAGGCCTAGAGAAAATTTAAAATTCAAAAGCTAGAGCTTTTCCTTTCTTGAACATCATAATGCTTTCCTGTTATATTGGTTTGTATTTTTGCCTGCACGATTGCTTTGCCTCAGCATTCGGCATCAGAATGAGACTTGTGTTTTTCAAAGTTTTGTTAATGAAACCTGCCTCCCACCAGCAAAAATAAACTTTTTTACCCAGAGCAGCATTCCTGTGCCCTGTAATATTGTATTTCCCTATTTTATAACCAAAAAGCAGCAGTGTAATTATTCACACTTAAACAGGTGTCGCAAATCTTATGTGACATATTCTGAAAGCATCGGCTGTATTGTCTCCATCACTTAGAATTTTAGTAGCCATATTGGCACTTGCTGGTGACTAATGTTTACTAACCAGTACAGTTGAGCACTGCTTGTGTATTAAGAGATGGTAAATGTTTGATAGCTTAGGTCTCTTGAGTACAATACATGGATTTTATAGAGATTTGTATCTAAAATATATATGTGGCTTTGGTCCCAATGTTGGACTGGGTTGACTAGATGCAATGAGTATAATTTTTCATATATTTTCAGTGCTGAGGGTACGAAGTGGTGCTTTGTCTTTATATATTTATTTAACTTTAAATCATGGCAGACAATTATAGAGTAAGTAATTCCTTCAGTATTTATTGTGTAAGGGAAAAGAGGGTTATTCATATAAAGAAAAGCTAATTACTTTTGCATTAGCTATAGTCAACTGGAAATTTATGACATGTGCATCTGAAGGTGAGGCTGATATTTTCTATTTTTCAAATTGCACCATTGATAGGAATGGTGTAGGGTACCCAGTCTGGTAGAATCCTGAAGGTGGCAGATCTTCTGGATCTACTTGGATTGGCATTTTAAAACATCGCACCTCTACTCCCCAGCCTTTTAGGAATTAATTGTAGTGTCATTAAAATTTTATCCTAGCAGAGTTGTCTTTGGCTGTGTCAGACAGGATATACTTTTTGTAATGCCTTTATTTTCATGCTTTTGCTCACAGAAAATTATTTAAAATAACATTTCTGGTTCTGAAAAATTATGGATGAGAGCTTATTCCATGTGTAAAGAAGATAATCTTTTACTCTGCATTTGGGGAAGTGGTCTTTGTTCTTACATTCTCCTTTTACTAACAGTTCTTCTCCCTGTATGTAGACTTACTCTTTTCACTTTTTAAAAATTCTCAGCAACTGAAGGATTTGTATTGTTCCAAAAAATTGGTTCTATTGTCATCTAATCTTGCCTGTTTTCCCTTCAAAGTCTTCAAATCTAAATTATTGTTTTTGCAAAACAGCTGCTAGGCATGTTTGTGAAATAAGCTTAAGTGATGATGAATGTATGCCAAAATAGGGTCTGTTTAGACACAAAGTGTATTTGTTTAAATCAACATTTAAATCAGCTCTGGTCTGTAGACTTCAATTCCAAACACAAGTGCATGCATTTATTATTCTTTTAACCTGCACTGATTTCTTCTGTTTTTAAAACATAAAGTATGACCTTCTACTTTCATTCCACTACCTTGATTAGTCACACAGTGTCTGTGATATTAGTAGGTCTGAGCTGTGCTAGAGAAAAGGCCGTGGGCTAAGGATACAGAGTGTATCTAAAAATCTGTTTGAAATTGTCTAAAGGCAGCAGCCAGACCTCTGGTCCCCACCCAGCACTGTTAGTGAGGAACACCTCCTCCCCATCCTGTCTGCTTCTGTTCTCAAATAACCAAAGTGATACACTCACATCTGTCCTTTGTCAGGGCGGTCATGACAGCATCTATTGGGGTGGGAGCGCAGCTTCCCTTACAGGATGGCTGCCTGCCCTCCGGGATGAGTGAGAACAAGGAACAGTGACCTGCAGAAACTCGAGGGGACACAAATGACCCTCCACTTTGGCACAGGGCAACTCTTGCGTAAAGTGTTGAGAAGAAGCTACCGCCATCTCCCAGTCTGCCTCGTGTACCTGATGCTGGGGCTTCATGGTTGATGCTTCGGGATTAAATTCTCTTTAATCAGCAAGGGTCTTTTGTTGCAGTCAGGCCCCCAGAGTCTTCCCTATGAGAAGTAGGGCGACATCCGCATGCCTTCCACAACCCCGGCCTGTGTGTTCATCGGGCTGGTTGCCTGCCTTCCACGTTATACTGAGGTGCTGCACGCGCTGTTTCCCAGCAGATTTAAATGCGTGTGTTCACATTAACCCCTTTTTACTGATGATGTTTCCTGAATACAAAGATTAAAAACCTAGTTTTTTGTTTTTGTTTTCTTACTTTCTGGTATCTCTTTCAGCAAAACCCAGGTGGTACTTTTATAGGTTTTATGTGTGATTAGGAAGCACGTTTACCTCATCAAGGCCAGATGTCACAGCAATTGGTAGTTCATACCTCGTTCCTCAGAGTGTTTCATTTTTGGCTCCTGAAACATTTCTTTGACATTGTGCAATTAAGATAGACTGTAGATTTGACTTCTGAAGTGTGACATTTTACCTACTTGGCTTTAGGAGATTTTCACTAGAAATAGTTTCTTTCCAGTGATGAAGCCTGCATGTGCAATATTTTCTCAGTGGGCCTGAGAAAATGGACCAAACTTCCTTCACATTTAATCAAAGCAGAGAGAATTACTGTATATTTTAAACATGATGTAGGTTAAGTTCAGACCTTAAATGCCTGTAAGCCTCTTTTATACTTAATGAATCATTTTGTGGCATTTGCATAATTCTATAAATTTTGAAGTGTAGATAAAACAAATGTTCACACATTATATTATAATGCTTAGTTTCCCCATTAGTTCAACAGTAATTAACTTGTTGAAGCTTAGAGCTTCAAAAATAAATGAGATTATTTGTTCAAAATGCCATCAGGTCTTCCTGGAATGACATTTAAATTATATAATGTAAATCCATTTGACCTGTGAGTCCTTGTCATTATTTAGTGACATTTCTTACAGAGTAAATGGTTTGCAGGTTGGGCAGCCTGCTATGGAGCTTGGCAGAGAACTATAAAAACAAATTATTCTTTCATTTTATACATCATTTGTTCAAACATTGGTAAAAATTGCTTTGTTTTTCTATAATAGAGAAGTGTCATTCAGTGGATAAAAGCACATTAGCTATTTTAGACACAGACCACAGACTGTGTCAGCAAAAGTATCTGTGAAGGAAGAATACCCATCATTACATCTGTCATACTGCATATTTTAAGTTAAAGACAAAGAATCCCTTCTCCCTTTGCCTACTGAGTTTACCACAGAGCATGTAAAATACTGCGAATCTAGGTTTTTAAAGTCTAGAAAATGTGATTTTTTTTCATTTTGTTTCACTTTGCTTGTTTTACTTTTTGCATTTGCGTTATGGATAAACTTAAATATTTAAGAGAGCAGTTAAATATCCCAGATTTACCATAGGGCTAGCATATACAACCAAATTAGACAATCAAGTGAATAAACATCATCTCTGGTATGCTTGGAAGTCAGTCGTTTTCAAAGAAATGTATCTAATCCATTAGGGTACTTGTATTTTGCTATTTAAAATAAAACCAAGGACCTTTAGTGAAAGACTGTTAAAAATCCAGAGGATTGTGGCACCGGCAGTTGAGACGGACTGCGTTTCTTTTAAACTTCCTGACTCTTTACTAATGAGGCCAAATGTTAAAACTTGTCACAATCGAATGAACTTTGTTACACTTTTTCCTCAACTCCTCTAAGCAGTCATGTGACATGACTTGCTCACCTGATGATGGCTGCTGTTGCCTTGGGGACCGTACCCACTGGGGCGGCAGGGAGCAGCAAGTGCTCTCAGAGCCTACAGAGGAGAGACGCCGTATTTACTGTGTCTGATGTGTTCCATTTCCAGCATAGCTGCAGGCCCACAGAAAGCAGTCGTCAGTATGTGGTGGACTAACTATGGGCTTGTTTTGAAGTGTTTGCCTGTAATGAGAGCTGAGTCTATTAGCCAGTAAGCTTCTTGAAGACCGGGTATCACCAGCCCTGCACATAGCAGGCCCTCAGTAATAACTTTTAGCTGAATAAAGAATAACCTTATAACTCCCCAGCAAGCAGTTTAGGATTTTTGACATTTTAAACCTTTGTGAACTGTATAACTCATCAAAGTATTGTGATGATGGCCCAGGAAGGGGGGTGGGGGGGCGCGTGTGTGAAACCTTTGTCATTAGCCATGAATAGATACCAGGCCAGTCATCTATCTCTGCCACAACTAGAAACAGCTCTGTGCATCTCCCTGATGCTGAATCCTGTTATATATTCAAAATGATGATGCTGAGACAGCCTAAAGATTTGAATGGATACTATCAGCTCAGCTGCTGGATTTGTTATTTGTGAAGAGAGACAAGTTTGGCACTCTTAGGCAGTAAGACTGTACAGACCAGGATGGTTCTCTCTCTGTTAGCTCTCCCCTCTACCTCATGCTTTGCCAGACATGGAGACCAGACTCATCTTCTCCCTGCATTCTAAATCTCTTTGGTTCAGAGGACCCAAAGGCAGCCACTTTGTGGCATTAATTTTATAACTTATTGCAGTAGAATGGTTTGTGCCAGTTAAGAGTATACGGAAGGAAAGAAGACTGGTTTGGAAAAATAGTGACACATTTTCTTTAATTTTATTTGTTCATATTTATTGTATTTAGCAATTACGGTCCACTATAAATGAGGGCAGCATTGTATATATGGCACAGACTAAGCGTTTAGTAAGTATTCATTGAATAAAATGGAATTTTTATATAAACCTTTCACTAAGGAACTCAGTGCACCTCTTTTCATTTAATCCCTCCTGTTTCCCTGACCACATGGGACACATGTCAAGAACTCCTTATAAATTGCTGGTTCAGGGGGACAGAGCAGACATCTATTTATGCCTGTGTTCCTGGGTCTGGTTGTCAGAATGATGACATCCTATGAAGCACAGCCAAGTTCACATAAAAGTTTTTCTCTTGTAATCCATTCTGGGGTCTGACAGGAATAAGGGAGGGTGAAGATTGTGTCATTCCCTGGGTGCTCCTTGTAATTCTATCCACTTTTTCATCACTTAAGAAAGCTTATTGGAATTTGAGTGAACGAGAGTGTCATTGTTAGAAAATCTTGCATTTTCCAAAAGTAAATTACTTGTAACTGTTTCAGCTTGAGCTGTAGGATGCCTTGCTTGTAGACGTCCAGAGGCCTTTGCTGGGTGGCATTCGTGCTGTAGTCTTAGCATTAAAATGGAGTAAGTAGAACATCCTCCTGGAATATGTGAATATGATGAGGCTTCTCTTAGAAACTTGAACACTAGAGCAAGTTTCATGCCATAATGTCCAGAAACACTGAGGAGAACGGCCTGCTGTGGCTTTTTCTGTAAAGTATGTTGAGTTTTAATGATTTCAGTTAGACTCCTTCTCAAAAGAACTATGTCCGTCATTTTAACTCACCCTAGCATGTTGTTAACACAGGAAGGGTGAGTATACCTTGCAGTATTACTACTGGGCCTGTATCGGAGATGGTGCTTCGAGCAGAGTCCATGGAACAGCCGTATGTTCTTCACGATAAAACGACACCTCGTTGATTTGCAGGTGGCTCCCAGGTTTTAAAAAAAATGGAAGGGAATTAAATGAACTACTAAGATTCTTTTTTTCCGAGGGAAAAGGAAAGATGCTTTCACAGAAATCAGGAAGTCTTTCCTTGGCCCTCCATCACTGTCCCTCGCATCCCATGGAGAGGCAGAGAATCACAGCTTGGTGATAATTGGAAAGTGAGATCTTAATTTAATACCAGAATACCCTGTGTTCCTTAAGATGCATGTAGTCTTTCATAATCAGGACTAAAGAAAAGGAATACATAAAATACTTCCGCTTCCGCATCAGAAATATTGTACATCTTCATACTGAGTATAAGATAAGAAGATACCTGCTAGTTCAGAATCTTCTTTCCGTGTTCTTTTGTTTTTACTAATTCTTTTTTTCTAAAATAATTTATAGTAATATCTGTGATCTTTTTTTCTTGTTTTAACCAAAAACCCTTGGAATTGATTCACGGCAACTGCAGTTTCTGGCTTTACAGTTTGTTTTACTCTAGGCAGCCCTTTTAGTTAAGTTTAATACAAAAAGCACTGGCAGTCTTCTAAGGCCTCGTGTTAGAATCTGCCTCTTTGGAACAAGAGCAGGAGAGGGTTGTGGGTTTTAGCCTAGAAGACTCAGGAGATACCCACATCCTAAGACAATTCATTATAAGAGTAAACCCATCAAAACAGTAAATGAGAAGCTTCCCAATCATTGTCAAAAACAGACACGAAAAATTTCATAAAACAGTTTGAGTGCAAATCAGAATCTCGAGCAGCCTCCTGTGTTTTTCCCAACTCATAGCCCTTCCTAACATAGCTGGGTGATCCTGAGTGTGTGATGCTATCTTCGTGGAAGCCTTAGCAGTGAGGTTAATTTAGACTCCAAAATCTTTTTTTTTTAAAACATCTTTATTGGAGTATAATTGCTTTACAATGGTGTGTTAGTTTCTGCTGTATAACAAGGTGCATCAGCTATACATATACATATATCCCCATATCCCCTCCCTCTTGCGTCACCCTCCCACCCTCCCTATCCCACCCCTCTAGGTGGTCACAAAGCACCGAGCTGATCTCCCTGTGCTATGCAGCTGCTTCCCACTAGCTATCGATTTTACATTTGATAGTGTATATATGTCCATGCCACTCTCTCACCTTGTCCCAGCTTATCCTTCCCCCTCCCCATATCCTCAAGCCCATTCTCTAGTAGGTCTGCGTCTGTATTTCTGTCTTGCCCCTAGGTTCTTCATGACCTTTTTCTTTTAGCTCTAAAACTCCGAGGAAGGCTGTGTTTGCTGGAAGCATGCAGTTACTGGCCGGCGTCAAGCTGTGCACGGGAAGGACCTTAACCAACCACCCACACTACGAGGACAACAGCCTGAGAGAGCGAACCAAAGCGGTGAGTGCCTCTCTTGGCTGGCTCGTGTCTGGTAAAGCTGGGGCTTCTGCTACCTGCAGGTTATGAGGGGAAGGCAGAGCTGAAGTGCCTGTCAGGACTTGCGTCTCCAGAGTCTAGACCTTGGCCTGCCCCGTCTGTTAAAGGCATGCTGTTTCGGCCTTCTGTTCCTCTCGGGTAGAAGAGTAAACTGAGGAGAACACCTTGAGATGTACAGAGCAGAGTGTTTGAGGACAGAGTCCTCAGAACTTTGAACTGGAGAAGGAAAAGGGGCAGAGACATACTGGTCACATTTTTTAATGGGCTGTTTCTTGTGTGTGTGTGTGTGTGTGTGTGTGTGTGAGAGAGAGAGAGAGAGAGAGAGAGACAGAGACAGAGACAGAGAGAGAGGGAGAGAGACAGAGAGAGAGAGAGGGAGAGAATAGGCAACACAGCCACACAGTAAAAAAGCTCAGAGCGTGCAAAAGAGAACATAGTGAAAAGTCTCCATCCCACCCCTGTCTTCCAGCTACTGCTTCCCCTCCCAGGAGGCAAATAACATTACCGGTAATTTTATGTATATACAAATGTGTGTGTGTGGATATATACATGAATCCATATTCTTTTCCCCCCTTTTTACAAAAGAACTAATTACATCTTGCTTCTTTTGGCACTTCATGTATTTTGGAGATCACTCCACATCAGCATATCGACAGCTTCCTTGCCATTTTTAAAGCTGCATAATGTTTTGTTACGTGGATGTGGCAAATTTTATTTGACCGTTTAGGTTGTTTCCCTGTCTTCTGCAATTATACAGCAATTTTCCAAATGATACGCCTGTATAAGCATCGCTCTGCACAGGCACAAGGTGTCTATCCACACATGAGGTTCTTAGAAGTGAAGTTGCTGGGTCACAGGATGTGGGCATTTGTAATCGAGATAGAATTACCAGGTCTGTACGAATTCTGCCAATTTACACTCCAGTCAGTGCTACAGAAGTGTACCTGTCCTAGTCCTCGCCAGCAGTGGTTTCAAACTTTTTAATGTTTTATATCAGTCACTTCTTAATCTTGGTGGCTGAAAATTTGTTGAAAAGTCTTGTTTGGGGGGTGAGATTTAACTAGCCTAAAAGTAAATGATTTTTACTAAATACTCCATTTTTAAGAGAACTGTCTTAATATAGATTCCTGCTAAAATGGGAATTTTTCAACTAGCCCAAGTGTTCCATATGGCCCTGAGTTTGCTAGAGGAAGATCGGAGGGTACCTGGATCACCAGAACCCAAAGTTCAGCTGGGAGGTGGCCACCACTTTGACTTGAGAGAGATGCAGATAGAGACATGTCAGAGGCACAGGGAGTCCTGTGTTCCATCCTCTCCAAGATCCAGTCCCTGCCTAGGTGCTGAGTTTTATGCCCTAAAAACTGATAACCTTGAAGGTCCTAGTGCCCTTCTTCAGTCATGACCTTCAGATCCTTGGAATGCCTTAGCCTGAGGCTGGTGCTGGACTGTAGGGAGGATGACCTCACAGTGTTAGCGACAGAAGCAGATAACCCCCCACCATTTCAGCATATCCGTTAAGACATGCTGACCTAGGCTCTCAGAACCCAGTCTCTTAAGTCAGAGACATATCATTAGAAATCAGTGGACGACAAAGGAAGCAGCTCCTCTCTTCATTACCCCTCCCCCAACACATACACACCATTCTACCTTCCCAGCGCCAAGTCCCAGGATATAGGCCACTCACCATCTGCGTGTATTTACTTAACGTGTGTGAAGCTGGTGGTGACTGGGAAGGCGTGCCTCCTGATGAACTGCCACTGGGCGCTGCAAGTTGCTCTTCCTCCAGGAAGGACGAGAGAAAGATAAAGTGTAGGGTCTCCTGGTCAAGCTGAGTGCAGCAGGACAGCAGTAGAGCAAGGCTGCTGCCCCTGCCTGGGGCCAGGGACCCTATGGGGGTCCTGTTCCCCAACTGCCACTATCAGAAGCTGGGTCTCCTTACAAGTATCTGTGCCTCCAGACTGTACCACCACCCCCAATGGACCCTTTTAGTCTAAAGGTCCCCTTTTTAAAGGTAGAGACTGTGTTTTATTTACTTAATCGCATTATTTACCTTGGTGAAGCATTCTTAGAATTGGCATCTACTGATGAATATATTCATAACTCAATACATCCTAAATCTTTGGTGTCCAAATCCAAATGTATTCAGCATGACTCACTCTCCCCCGTCCCAACAACTTTTTTTTTTTGGAAATTTCTCACATACACTCCAGGACTACAGGTGAATGAGCAACCTGCACAGGAAGAGGTGAGGGGAGCAGGGTGTCTGCGATTAGACTCAACCCCTGTGGGAGGTTGCAGCAATAGATAGTCCTTGACGAACTTCCCAGCAGTTAAGTGGTATTTTGCCCTATTCCATTTTTATCTTGTTTTGAAGGTCTATCAGATATATGCAAAGAGAGCCCCAGAGGAAGTGCACGCCCTGCTAAGGTCCTTTGGCACCGACTACGTGATCCTGGAAGACAGCATCTGCTATGAGCGCAGGCACCGCCGGGGCTGCCGGCTGCGGGACCTGCTGGACATCGCCAACGGACATGTAAGCATGCCTTCCGCCCCGTGTGGGGCGTCCCCTGGGGAGGAGAGGATCCAGTGTGAGCCCTAAGGAGTGTAACTACCTTTATACCTTGGAGAACTGCACAATGGATCAAGCATTCACCTCCGTTGTGTTCTGCAGAACCCCTACCTTGGCACGTTAGTAACTTGCCACGGGGGCTGGAGGGGCGGGAGAGATGGGAGGGGAGCTCTTGTCCCCACTGTCACACCAAACAGAGCAACTCTGTCTTCATGAGGCTTTGCATAGAATTTATTTTTTAAGGTTTTGCTACTAAAGTGAAAAAACCTCAACCTTTAAAACCGCTGCTCCAAAGCATCATTTTGGCTGATGATACGAATGTCCATGAGGGCGGTGTGCCAACCCAGCACCCCACAGCCTGTGTGGTAGAATCTCACTCCTCTCCCTGCTCTCTCGTTGGGTGTCCCTTTTCGTCCACTGGCACACTTCCACAAAGATGGCTTTCTATGGCCAAGCTTACACTCCTGAGCAGGAAAACAAGCTACTTCTCTTTTCTTCTTTCTGAGGAAAATGTTTTAGGAGATATGCCAGGTCTCAGGTAGAGAAAACATAAGATTTTCACCCTTTAGAGGTGGTGTGTGTTGTAATTATTGGTATAAAAGCTGATAGATATTTCTAAAATGAGTGGGGGGAAAAAGTGATAAACCTAGCCTACATCTGAAAAAAATAAATAAATAAAACCTTGACTGTACAGAATTTGAGATTCAGAACACTTAAGATCTACTCTCTTAGCACATTTCAAGTGCAGAGTACAGTATTATTAACCCTAGTCACCATGCTATACATTAGGTCACCAGAGACTTACTCAGTTCATAACGGCAAGTTTATACCCTTTGACCAACATGAATGTATTGGTTAACTTGATTGTAGTAATCATTTCACCATGTATATGTATATCAAATCATCAGATTGTATACCTTAAATATATACAATTTTATATGTCAATTATGCTTTAATAAAGCTGAGGCAAAGAAAATGAGATTTGATTTTTGCTCAAGGAAAAATAACTGTCCATAACTATCTTGAATTCAGAGGAGGTGCAGACCAAATACATTTAAATTTTGCTTTGTGTGTAACTTTTTCTAACTAGGCCATCTGATGAGTTGCAGAACTTTCTCTGGTCATAGTAATTCTTCTCTGTGTTTCATTTTTTGAGAGAGAATGGTGTAGTATGTTCTTCAGGACAAGGAGATCCAAGTTCTGCTTCTAGCTTTGCCATTAAAGGTGAACATTGTTTGACACCGAACTCTGCTCTTCAGCCTTGGGTCACACTTCCAAAGGGGAAAGGGATGGACCAGATGGTCTGCAAGCAGCCATTGACATTCGTTCAGTTTAAGTTCACTAGCATGTCATTCTTAAAGAAACCCAATCCCTATTCCTACTTCTGTTTGTCTTTTGTAAATACGATTTTTTTCCAGATTGTATTGGTTTTGTTTTGGCTTTAGATGATGGATGGCCCAGGAAAGAATGATCCAGATTTGAAACTTGCAGGCCACCCTCGCTTTTGCGAAGAGATAAAAAGAAACCTGCCCCCCTACACAGCATACTTCACTCGAGTGTTTCAGAACAAAACATTCCACGTTTACAAGCTATCCAGAAACAAGTAACAGAGCTTTCTATTTAATCTCTATTTTTGATATGTGAAACTCCATCATAATGAAACTCAATAGATAATGTTTCAAATGTAATTAGGTAACCGGTACCTTAAAGCTGTGATATGATTAAGTCTACAAATGTTTACACAAGCGTTACCATCTTTGAAAGTATCTTATACATGCTTCAGTCTTTGTCTTGTTCCATTAATGTTCTTTAGCCTAAATGTTTTCAACTTTCTAAAAGTGATCTAGAATTTTGTTGTTGGGGAGAACAGTTAAGTGTTCCATAGGTAGCCTGAACAGCTGCATATCATGTTGGAAATCTAGAGCCTGTGTCAAGATTTGAAATACTTCTAATTTTTAATTGACTTACAACAGCTATAGTTGAATTGAATTGAGGGGATACATAATTAAATTATTTAATATTTTTTCACTAGTGAAGACCAACTGGTGGCTTTTTTAAAAAAAGCTCTCTATTGTCCTGTTTCACCTAAAAATTTTATAATGTTTTTAATTTGTCATGCTTTGAATATTTTTTTAAAAATCATGTTAAGTCTTCATATGTATCTAAAATTTTTTGTTGTGCTCCATCTGAAATGTAATGTGTAGCACTTCAGTAGTATGTGTCAGTGTGTGTATGTGTGTACACGGGCATGTGCATGAATGTTTTAATGCTGGGCACAGAAAAGTGTTACAAGTTCCATATTGTAAGTCCTTAAAGCAGCAGAAATGTTATGTAGCTGAGTAGAATTTGTTACTGTATAGTGTTACTATTTTAAAACCTGTTGATACTATTTAATCTATCCTGCAAGTAAGAAAATTCTTCTTCATTTCTTACTCATTCAGATTTACTGGGTTTGCAAAATTTTGTAAACTCTTTGTTTTTAGCCTTTGTATTTTTTACAGCCTAGAACCTTGCAAAGTCTTACTATTTTTAAAATGTTGTATCTTAACTAACTCACTACTATGATATTTTTGGCAGAGAGCATTTTCATACCAAGTTTGATTTGTGGTCTCCAATCTTACTGTGAGGGCCCTTGATAGGTGGTTCTTTTTCTTACTCAAAGGTAACCAAGTGCCTCTAAGTCATGCTTATTTGTAAACAACGAAGAGGATTATGTGTACCTTGTACCTGCTCAAAAATTTTTTGATAATTGCTTTTGTAATTAATTTCTAATGATAGGGACATGTAAAAGTTACTGATAAAAGCATATTGTGTATTTAATTAAATCAAGATGGCTAATGAAATTAACTTTCACCTCTCATGCCAGTTGGAAATGATTTAAATATTTCTCCTTGCAATTGTGTTGAAGTAAATCACTGTAGACATGAAGATGGATATGTCACATGTTCAAATGATTTTCTCTTCAGCTACTACTTAAGCGGTATTCAAAAAGAAATTTTACACTACCATGTTGGGTTCAAGGAAGGATACTTGGCTTTTATCAAAACTTATTTAAATAAAAAATTGACAGTAGCTGGGTTATTAAATTATGCAACTGAAACTCCTGAATTATATCTTTCTTGTATCCCTTAATAAGGTTGGAGACCACTGCAGTTTAGGATAATACAATAATAAAACATTTTAATCAGTACTGAAACTTTAATTAAGCCAGTAATGATGCATGCCTGTTGCAGCTGACAGCATGGGTCAGTCCATCCTTCAGTGAGTGCCTTACTCTAATTGAAACCAAGCACATGTAAGGTACAACGTGTTCGACTATCTAGTTACGTTTTTAAAACCCTCTATTACCTTCTCAGAAATATTTCAATTTATTTTAAATATTCCTGTATTATTAATCTATGCATTTGGGTATTTGGAGTTTCAGTATACAAGAAACATGTACTTAAATTTTTATGCTTATCATCACCACATTGATCACATACAGTAATCCTTTTTTCACAGTTTAGGTGCCATTTGTTGCCAAAACACTTAGTGTTCAGTCTTTAGTGAAAAATATAAAGTGCCAAAAATTCTTGCAAGACAGAATCCATACATACACTCTTTCCAGAACACTGTGACCATGTATAGTTGACATTTTTATTTCCTGATGACCAAATCTCTTAATGAATCATGTGAAATATTTTTAGTGCTCCTCAGTCTTCTCTTTTATGACCTTCTCATTGGAGTACATGGGAGGAAAGAGAGGAAAAGCGGCTGACCCTGGCTCTCTAAGCTCCCTGCCACACGATCTCAGTGGCTGTGCTAATGTTTGGTAATATCCTCAAATTACGGCTGTATTTTATGGGTAGAAAGACCACTTGATTTTGCTTCAGAGCTAGCATTCAAAAGAACCTCTAAGTACAGTAAGTGCTCTTAATTAACCTTTACTTACGTGACTCACCGGGTCCCTTCACAGTCTCCATCCCTCTTGTAAGCTGACTTCGGCCCAGCACCAGTGAGGGCTGCTCCCTGGCACTCTCAGGCCTCTGCTCTCTCCTTTGAGTTCTCTGCCTGCGCCAACCTTGTCTGCATGCTCTACTTCCAGCTGTAAATACACGATTCAACATAAACCCAGGAAATTTTGCTCTAAAATGGAAGGGTTATTTCTGCAAAAATTAGCTTGAATGCTTTGGTAAGATTTGATAACAGTTGCCATTAATAAAAATTACTTTTAAATTAATTGTGGTTGGGAAAATTATAAAATATTGGGATAACTTAAAATTCAAGAAAATTTCTGAGCTTAGATTGCTTCACAGATTTATTTATTTTAGTCCTCATTTCACCTTAAAAAAAAATCTAGACTGATCAGAAGGTATTAAAAAGTACCCAAATCAGGGCTTCCCTGGTGGCGCAGTGGTTGAGAGTCCGCCTGCCGATGCAGGGGACACGGGTTCGTGCCCTGGTCCGGGAACATCGCACATGCCGCGGAGGGGCTGGGCCCGTGAGCCATGGCCGCTGAGCCTGCGCGTCCGGAGCCTGTGCTCCGCGATGGGAGAGGCCACGGCAGTGAGAGGCCCGTGTACCGCAAAAAATAAATAAATAAATAAAAAGTACCCAAATCATATTATTGGTATGATTTATGCAAAAATAAAACTGTAATCATTGGACCCTTATGCAAAGGAAAGGCCTCGGCTTTACATCAGAAGATGAGCAAATGAATGTACAGTTATACATTTGAGGTTATGATTCCCTACTTTAACCAACTTTAACTTCATTAAATGACCAACTACTGATACCAATCACAGTGGCTAATCTACTTCTACTAGAGTTGAAAGGTTCCAGTCACTTTATTACAGACTCAAAAAGTAGGAATTCATTTCAGATATATTAGCTAGGAGCATAATTAGGTGTTATCTAGGCCATCTGTTGTCCACTTAAAGGTGATTTTCTTGACCTTTGTGAGATCAACTAAATAAATGTGTGTGTGTGTGTGTGTGTGTGTGTGTGTGTTGGGTTGGTGCTGGTGTTGGCAAGGACATATGTAGATATTTCATCTGGTCTGCATCTTTACAATTAAGTAAAAAGGTTTATTCTGATTGCACATGAACCTTGTAACAATTGTAGCTCATCTTTGGCCAAAACATACCTGAATTAACTAGAAATAGTCCATTTTTAAATTTTCATTTAAACGTTGGAATTAATAGAAGGACAAAATGTTCTCAGATCATATGTCTTGGCCAATATGCTCCGAAATACTTTATATATGGCAACCTTTTGGCATAGAAGAGAGTGCTTGTCTGTTCATGGAAAAAAACTTTTAAACTGAGCGAGTGGCTTACTTTCTTGTGGCAATTGATTTTCTGTACTTAATATCCTATGGGTAAAATCTTACAAAGAGCTTTTATAATTTGTTGTACTGAATTGTATGAAGATAGTGTACTAAATAAAGCTAAGTTACACAGGATGAGTGTCTTTCATTTCTTTGAAGGTCAAAAACCAAGGAACTGGCTTCTTGAAGTGTATTAGATATGTGCTAAATAGAGGATAATCACTAAAAGATGGATGTGACAGGGTCTTACTTGTACTTGCTAATGTTGAAGGGGTTTCTGTTTTTCACAAAATTTGGTTTGATCGCTGCTTATTTGCTTTACTTGAACCTCAAGCTTATAGTTAAGGCTTGTAAAGAGAAGGCTGCTGTCAGCTGAATTTATCCTCAGAGATAAATGCTGTTGTTTCGACCTTTGGAATTGTTTCTACTTCTTGACTAAACTCTCAGTCTTTAGTAGCTCAGGAAAATGGGTGGTGGTTCACGTTTTTGGTAAGAGTGTATAGATAACAAATATGCTTGATGTTAGGTTGTTCAAAGCAGATATTGAAATTCCAAGCAGAAATGGTCAGGGAGACGGATATACTTCCAAATAGAAGAAAACGGCAGTGGGATCTCAAATATTCGGTACTGACTCTTTAAAGTATACAATTCAGTGTACTTACACTAAAGCTATTAAGTACAAAGCTATTAAGTACATGTTGCTAGAATGGTCTGGCAGATTAAGAATTACAAACAATATAGATAAGCGAGAGATTCGGGTTATGAATGAACTGAATGTGTAATGGTTTGACATGTAACACAGGCATGTGGCAGATGAAATGCTAGTTCTCTGCCCCTCATCTCAAACCTTTTCAGTTAATTTTTTTTTTTTTTTTTTTTTTTTGCCACGTCACACCACGCAGCACATAGGATCATAGTTCCCCAACCAGGGATCAAACCCATGCCCCCTGCCGTGGAAGCACAGAGTCTTAACCACTGGACCTCCAGGGAAGTTCCCCTTTTCAGTTAATTTGATATTGAGATTTTTTCTTTGTAGGATTGTTCTTCGAAGTGCAGATAACAGAACTATAATGTGAAATCAACTTAGTGGGTTGCAACCAACATTTAGTGGTTGAGAGAGAGAGAGGAAAGAGGGAGGAGGGGGAGAGAGAGGTTAAGGGAAGGGAGAGAGTGGACAGCCAATACGGTAAATATAAGTTGTTTTGTGAAATATTTGTTTCAGTTATACATGTCGTTATTTGTGCTCTGGGGTGCAATGTCAAATGTATTTCTTACTGTGAGTTTATAGTCAGTTTGAAAGCCATGCCTTTATAGCAGGGAGGATTCTGGGAAGATGGCAGTTTGAACTTGGCTCTGTCTTGTCCCCCAACTCCACTGTAGAAGAACCCTTTGAACAATGATGATATTAAAGAATTATAAATTTTAGGTGTGATATAGACATTGTTATTTTCTTAGGTCCTTATCTTTTAGAATACATACTGAAATATTTACAGGTGGAATTATGTATGTATAGGGTTCATATCAAAGTCATTTTGTGAGGCATGTAGATGAAACAAGGTTGGCCATGAGTTGATATAAGCTAGTTTGGGATTTTTCATATAGAAAAAAGAAGAAATTAACAAATCAGGAAACTAAGGAGATTAAAATTTAAAAGGTAAGAACTGAAATCAATTATCTAGGGAAATAGTAGAATAAACAACCCCTCCCCACCAAAAAATGCTGCATCTTTTAAAAAGATTAATGAAAAAAACATCTGGTAAACCTGATTAAGAAAAAGAGCAAAAGAAGACATAATCCACAGATAGGTTAAAAAGAAAACTACAGCCTGGCCAATACAGAGTATTTTGCAGCAACTGACAGGACTACCATCTTTTTTTTTTTTTTTTTGGCTGTGTTGGGTCTTCGTTGCTGCACGTGGGCTTTCTCTAGTGGTGGCAAGTGGGGGCTACTCTTTGTTGTGGTGCGCAGGCTTCTCATTGCGGTGGCTACTATTGTTGCGGAGCATGGGATCTAGGCACGCGGGCTTCAGTAGTTGTGGCTTGTGGGCTCTAGTGCACAGGCTCAGTAGTTGTGCACAGGCTTAGTTGCTCTGTGCATGTAGGATCTTCCTGGACCAGGGCTCGAACCTGTGTCCCCTGCACTGGCAGGCAGATTCTTTTTTTTTTTTTAATATCTTTATTGGAGTATAATTGCTTTACATTGGTGTGTTAGTTTCTGCTTTATAACAAAGTGAATCAGCTATACATATACATATATCCCCATATCTCCTCCCTCTTGCATCTCCCTCCCACCTTCCCTATCTCACCTCTCTAAGTGGACACAAAGCACCGAGCTGATCTCCCTGTGCTATGCAGGGCAGGTGGATTCTTAACCACTGTGCCACCAGGGAAATCCAGGACTACCATCTTTGAAAGAAGGGAAGCACACAAGGTGAGTCCCAGTCTTACCCTGGCTTTCTCCCCCTAAAGTCTTTCCCAAACCATGGCACAGGGAAGATGGAGCTCAAGCGGAGAATGACAGTCTTACTGAAGAAAGAGATTGGAGTTCATGGATGCACCGATGGCTGAGATTTGGTAGGACTTGGAAGGGCAGGGTACCAGAGAGGAGGGAATTGCGAAAGAGAAGATCTGAGAAGTCCCTTTGGGTCCTTGGCCAATTCATAACCTGCACGTGTATGGCTTAGCAGAGAACATCTAATAAGTAACAGAGCTGAACAGAGATTTCAGAGGTTATATAGTGCTGAGGAGATGCTGGAATTGGGGTCCAGCCAGCATGAAGAGGCCATGGTGAACCCCCCAATAATGAGACCCAAGAAAAGCTATACCTTTTCCTAGGAGTAGAGGCTATTATCCTATCTCTTCCTAGGAGTAGAGGCTATTATCCTATCTACCTGTCAAAAGCAAATATAAATCTGCTATGAAGGATGATAACCTTATCCATGGCCTCAAATTATCTCTACAATTCCTTATATACAATGTCTAGCACTCAATCAAAAATAACTAGGAATAATAAAAAAGCAAGCCTGAAACAGAAACTGAAATAGAAACAGAGCCACAGTCTAATTAGATATTGAAGTTTAAAGCATAGACTTTTAAAATAACTGCTTATTATATTCAAGAAATTAAATGACAAGATGGAAATTTTAGGTGAACTGAAAACTATAAAAAAGAACACAATGGAAACACTAGAATCGAAAAATGTAATAAATTAAGTACTCAGTGAAGGGTTAAATAGCAAATTAGACACAGCTGAAGAGAGAACTGATCAACTAGATGATAGGCTAGAAGAAAATATTCAGGCTAAAACATAAAGGAGAAAAGGATGAACAATGAAAGAGCATGAGACATATATTAGAACATTTCACTTTATCCTGTAAATGTAACTGAAGCCCCACAAAGAGAAGAAAGAGTATGGGGCTGTATGACTTTGGACAAGCTATCTGTACTATTAGCTTCAGTTTCCTTTTTTGTAAAATAGAGTTTTGATAATTACCTATATGGTCATTGACTGGATTAAATGACATGACATTTAAACCACTAGGCCTAATACTTTGTACATGGTGAGTACAATAGGTGGAAGCTACAGGGTATCACCATCATCATCATCAAAATTAGATAATAGGGCTTCCCCGGTGGCGCAGTGGTTGAGAGTCCGCCTGCCGATGCAGGGGACACGGGTTTGTGCCCTGGTCCAGGAAGATCCCACATGCCGCGGAGCGGCTGGGCCCGTGAGCCATGGCCACTGAGCCTGCCCGTCCGGAGCCTGTGCTCCGCAACGGGAGAGGCCACATCAGTGAGAGGCCCGCATACCACAAAAGAAAAAAAAAAAATTAGATAATAAAGACAGATGTTAAAGAGCCCTTGGTAATTTTATGTGAGATATTCTTATGTTGCTATAGAAAATATCTTTAAAAAACAAAACAAAATAAAACAAACAAAAACCTTTAGGGACTCAGAAGGAGGCTAACAAGAACAGCTTGTAAGGAAATCAACTTCTTAGTAATTTCTGAGTTACATATTTACATCACAAAGAGAGGTGTGTTTGTGTCTGTGTCTGGGTGTGTATGTGTATAGAAAAGAGGAAAAAAGAGCCATAGAAAAAGACTGAGAAGCTGATGGCCTGCATGTTTTTGGAAGCAACGTCATCATTATTGAAGATA